TATTTGAATAACGAAAAACAAAAAATAATTTTTGAATAACGAATAACGGGAAAACTCGTTATTCGTTTTTCGTTTTTCGTTCTTCGTTCTTCGAACTCATACACATAAACACTGCCGTATTTGGCCTTAATGTGTTAGAATCGTTTTCTGGATATTAAAAAGCACTGCTGATCCTCGTTATTCGTTTTTCGTTTTTCGAATAACGAAAAACGAATCCGGTGCTAACTTCCTGTGGCTGTTTTACTTAAGGGGAAATATTAATCTTACTTAGGCATGACTAGACGGCCAGGTATGTACTTAAACATGAATAAATGTTGAATATTTTATTGATGATTGAATTGATCAGATAATAATAGGTTTGCTAATTGTAATCAAGGTGTGTACAACTTTGAAAATGATAAGAAATTTCGCCGTATTCTCTACTTCACAAAGCCCTACTTTGTTATCGTTCGCTTATTTGTACATTTACCATCATATGATAACAATTTCCATTGTCTCACGTTTTGTACGGTTGACTTACTTTTCAGAAAGTTCGATTAATATATTGTTATTCACAGTTGCTGTAAATCCCCGGGAGTGCGATCGTTTGACTACTGTTTATCGTCATCCCGGGGTTATAACAAGGTACATACTGGTTGATCTCACTGTAAAATGTATTCTCAGAAAACCTCTGTTGCGGGTTGTGCGTCACAAGTGCATATGCATTTACATATACCACAACAAGGAGAAACGGATCTCTCTCTACTCTACATGTAGAAATACTTGGAAAATAATAAGACGGTAAGTTAGTTAGAGAAAACATTTTAATTGTAAAAACACCAGTCGGTAGTTACTTTTTGAAATCAAATAAGATAATTCATTTGACTTATGTATATCAAATCACTCTGTCGTCCACTTGTGTTCTCATACTGCACATTCCACATTCCGTTTTCAAGTCGACACATTCAGCACTTGTCTTAAGCTTGGTCCCGAAAAACACGTGGTCGCTGCTATATAGGCACATTTAATACCATAATGCGTATAATGAGATCGGCGTGAGTCCAAGACACTGAACTGGACACAGGTACATGTAAGTAAGTAATTAGTCCCACTGACCAGGACACGTGAAAGGTTTTAGTGGTCAATGTTGTACCGACACCGTGTACGTAGTGGTTAGTGTTGTACGGACACCGTGTATACGCGTAGTGGTCAGTGACTCTAGGTACCGAGGGGGCGATTATACACACCGACTATTTCTGACTGTCCCTCCATGATATCAGGATATGGTTCATTTTATTTTGACAGATGACGTCACTCTGGTCACTGTTATGCCTTACTTTGATGTTGTTCGGTAAGTGATATACCACATCAGTGAAATAGATTACTTTTTTCATTTATATTACCGTATATATATATATTATTTTACACTATTTTGCCGTATCATGATTTATTATATCAATTGTTTGCATAGTATCTTATTGTCTATATTGTCGTTTTTTCCCTACTTTATATTTTTATATATGATGTTTTATAATTCATATTACCTACATGTAATTAATAATTAATATTAATATATAACGAGTTTAGTCATTTCTATTTGTTGCACGGTATTTTATCATTTGCATTGCCATATTTGAGTTTTTTTCCATTAATTTATACTCCCTTAATCATTTTTGTCCTTCATTTTGGCATATATAGTGTTTTTACATTTATCACCATAAACATACATAGTACTCAATTATTTATACCACATAATTTTATAGTGTTTTATCATTCATATATTGCCTTATAAAGAGTTTCAAGTCATAAATAAACTAATCATCTCACAACTTCGACTAATGCAATAATTATTGTAATTTGCCTACAAATGTAACTATTTTTCTACAAAACACTTAACATTTTATCGTTAGATTTTTAAATCTAAATTCATCTATACTATATTTAAAAGATTTACATTATAGTTGTCAATGTATTCTCAATAGAGAGTGTGTCCAGTGGTTATCAACGAGTGTGTTACTACGCCAGCTGGTCTAAATATCGCGGAGGAGAAGGGCGATTTACGCCTGAAAATATAGACCCCTACCTGTGTACCCATATCATCTACGCCTTTGCTTCTGTGGATGGCAGCAACATAGGATTGCAAGATCTCACAGAAGAAGGTCGGTAAAGGCTCATTCAAACCTTCGTCACGTTAAACCATCTTTGAGCGGTTTTATTATTGAACTGTGAATAAAATCAAATGACCAAAAACTCATGACTTTCAATCGTGAAACAGGAAATAAAAATAAAAATTGTTTATTGTTTTCAAATCCAGATCTTAGAATATTTGTAACTTTCATTGATATTTTCTCTGAAAATCTATATTGTTGTTATACACAGAAACCTTAGCAAGAGTGGTTGGTTTGAAAGAAGTAAGCCCTTATCTAAGGGTACTAATCGGACTTGGAGGATGGGTACACGGTTCAGCGCCTTTCACCTCTTTAGTCAGCTCCCGCACCAACATGGACGCATTTGCCAGGAATGTGATCGCCTTTCTCAGAGCCTGGGACCTGGACGGGTTGGACTTAGACTGGGAGTACCCTGCCTCCCGCGGTAGTCTACCTGGTGACAAATTGAGGTTCACACAATTGATACGCGTGAGTTTTCGAACATATGTTTCATCACTATTTTTACTAGTATATACATTTAAACAATACTAACATGAGTTAGTATAAGTTAATATTAGTTCATTATTCAGACGGAGAATAAGCCATCTCGACCAATTCGACTTTTTGTTTTAAATTTGATTGTTTTGTTATCAATACCGTCTAGTGCTCGTTATTAAAATCTGTCCCTGATTAAACTCTTGCCCGACAACATAACGTTATTTCATGGCTGTTTTTTGAAAATACATTTCTATCTTATGAAAAATATTTTAAAGAAAACTATATTATACGTTTCCATTTTTAATGATATTCATTGTAAGTCAGGGCGCATCCTTTGTATAGGTTATGCCCCTGGTTGCAAGGTTGTAGCGCCTTCACCTGAACATAACAATAAAAGAAGAAATATATGACACTGCTTTTTTTTTTATCTCTATATCGTTGGAAAGCCAAATTGTTGGTTGATGGTGAAATTTGTAATATTTGATGCTGTAATTCGTAACAAAATATTATAAAAATGTTTACTAATGTATATTATTTTTTAAGTGTTTGATTGAATTTTCAAATCATTGTTAACTACAATTTTGATACTTCTACGTTATTATCATGACATTTACAGGACAAAATTAACAAACTATTTTATCATCTCATATTATCATGTCAACTACACTGTCATAAAAGTATTGAGGAAGTGGTAAAAAATGAGAGAAAAAAGATTCAATTAAAGCGTTTGATTTTTGTTGAATTCAGGGGGCAAAAAACCCACTTTGCACAGACCTTCTGTTTTATCTTATCCATACACACCATATCGCCGATGGTCTATAATTTAATCTACATGCATCACCAATAGAGCGCGTAACGCGATGTTATCGTACAGTGAACATTAAAAATCGTTGTTTTAGAAAGGTAGCTTCCACTTTGGGAAATAGTTTACCATTTGTTATCTTGAAATCGATTTTCAATTCGAGAAAAATGTTCGGATTCACTTGTTTTTATCTGCTATGTAACCCTTTATACACATGGAGTCGTGTAGTTGCCATATCACCCTATAGACAGCTGAGGACCAGCATGCTAATCATATAGTTAATAGTTATATGATTCTATTGTGCTTTTGTTTCCCTAAAACGATCATATACTGTAAAGCGCCTTAGAGTAATTTCCTAAATTAAACAAGGCGTTATAAAACTACTGTATAAATTATAATGTTTGTTCGCTTCAGTTAAGTAATGTTTTATTGCGAAAAGGTTGAAACAACGGATTATACACAAGTTATAACAACGTATTTGTATCGTTCGTATATCATAAATATAGAATTACATGGTTCAAGGGAAAGAGACAGAAATGTAATAATATATGTACATATAACTACAACTTAAATCTGTTCCTGGATTTGAAGAAATTATACATATTTCTAATAACGTATGAATTGAGTATTTTATACCCATTTATCCAAGCTATTCAGTTTTGGACCTGATAAGCCTTTCATTGGAAAACAAAATGGCACTCGAAAAAAATGTGAAAGATATCATTATATGGATGTATCCACAGTAACAATCTGGACTTTAACAAGAATTCTCTGTAAAGCGAACTTTACTGATTCTTAACCTTAATTCGAAACCAATCCAAAGATCATTTTCTAAAACTTTAGAATGTGGATGGATGTGACGGTTGAAATTATGGAACTTTAGTAATTTTCTAGGGCAGGCAACTCACACAACAATCAATTCTAACACCATTATTGTTTCTAACATTACTGCCTTTTCCAAATATTAGGTGTCAATAGACGGTTTTATAAATCCGGAGTTCAAGTGTCCTACATTTTGTTAAATCGTCAGAGTTTTCTTCTTATTCTTCTAAACTTGTTTTAGAATAAAATGTAAATCGTCAATACAGTCACATAAGAAGAATTATGTACAATACGGTAAGATTTTGTTTAGACTTTCGCGGATTTTTAAGTAACTCACATATTATACAACCGTCTCGTGATTTATCAGCTTAATCTATAACTAATTACAGAAATGCTTGATTAATTCTAAAAAAAAATGTCTTGATTAATTTAATATTTCAATCTTCATACTATGTTTATCAAAGAACATAAATTGCACAAACATGCTGATTTCGTAAGAATGATTTCTATTTACATTACGTCGTTATCAAGATAATACCATTCCGGTTAGCAGGTCTATTTTTTAAATGTTATTAACCGTCCCATTGCCAACATCAAATATTCTATCAGTCGGAAAGGTGTATTAACACCATGTATACCATCACAGTGACTTTCATTCAAACTCAAAATATCATTTTATGTTTCAAAATATCATATTGTGTTTCAGAATATCATATTGTGTTTTAGAATATCATATTGTGTTTCAGAATATCATATTGTGTTTCAGAATATTATAATGTGTTTCAGAATATCACAGTGTGCATATTATATATTGTTTTAGAATATCAGAATTTGTTTCAGAATTTCATATTGTGTTTCAGAATATCATACTGTGTTTCAGAATATCATATTGTGTTTCAGAATATCACAGTGTGCATATTATATATTGTTTTAGAATATCAGAATTTGTTTCAGAATTTCATATTGTGTTTCAGAATATCATATTCTATACATATTTTAGATAAGGATGTTCATTCCGTTGATCTTAAGGATCTCTTAATGGGCTTACATGTACGAAATGGTTATACGCTACAGGAAAAGGGTTGCGCTAGGACAGTATCTCGAAAAGTCCATATGCTTCAGTAAAAATAGAACAATATTTATCAAAACCTCAAATTTCGAAAAGGTTATCATATTATCGTTGATCAATTTACCACGCAAGTACAACCGATTGAAGTTATATACCTGTAAAAACGATTGGAAACCAAACGAATATATCATGAATTATCTGTTAGTTGATTTATTTTTTTTATATTTATCTTTCCAGATCCTACGGAGCGCGTTCGAGGCGGAAGCGACTAAGACTGGCCTACCAAGATTTCTACTGACGGCTGCAGTACCAATAGGCAAACCAGTAGTCCAAGCCGGTTACGAAATTGAAAAGATATCAAAGTATGGCTACAGATGATATGCTTAACTAATTACAAAACACGAGTTGTTTTAGTTTTTGCATGGAAGGTAACATACCAGAAAATATACATATACAAACCGGGACTACATTTTAAGTAGGTGTTCAAAACGAACGATACTAGAGCAAAATTGATGTTTGTGCATCTAAAAAGATAAAATTAAAAATCATTTATCAATGTTTATTAAAAGTTGATTCGTTTCTGTAACTCATGTATGATTTGATAGAAACAGTATTTAATGAGAACTAGACCAAGCATCATTCACTATGTATTGCATTTCGTGGGAATGCTAGTACAGTGACTACCAACACAATTCAAGGTTTGATGGGAGAATAACATAGACTGTTGATGTTACAGTGATCTGGATTTTATCAACCTAATGACATATGACCTGCACGGGTCCTGGGACCACACCCTCGGCCACAACAGTCCGCTCTACCCCCGAAAGTCCGAGTCGTGGGCGATGGCGGAACTGAACCAGGTAGGTCACAATACAAGATTCCAATTCGTATATATACCCCAGCATGAAGATTGAATTACAAACAATCCAATAAGAAGTACCGGGAAGAGAATGCAGTTTAACTATATTTGATTTGTGTCTACAGGACTGGGGGGTGACGTACTGGTTGTCCAATGGTGCCCCTCCAGAGAAGTTAATGCTTGGCATCGCTACATATGGAAGGACTTTCAAGACAATCAATGGAACAGAAATGGGTGATAAGGCGATGGGGCCTGGACGTCCGGGAAAGTTTACCTCCGAGGCGGGGTTCCTTGCCTACTTTGAGGTAGCTATGCGTGCTGTGCGAGGTACATCAGTATATTTGCATGTAGATAGTTACCAACGAAACTTGGTATCATGAACAAACATATTGAAAGTGTATTTATCATTTTGTTAGTAAAATGCAAAAAACTTTCGGTAATAAACATATAATATACTTTATTCGTCTGGGGCATTCTATTGATCCAAGTGATCCACCAGAGGAAACAACTGTTAGAAGTTAAAAAGATCCACCGTAGCTACAAAAGCCACGCTCAATGCGGAACCCTCAAATGACCTTTTTGGGGAACTTCAATACTAAATTATGTTTACACGTAATGGTATACATAACTCGTGTACATGAAGGTGTTTTACAAATACGGCAGGGTTGTGATGCATAATCATGTCCATTTCATTAAGTCCGATACTCTTAGTTTCTTTATGTTTTTTCCAGATTTGCCAAAATCTCCAAAATGGCTGGACGCAGAAGTGGCACCAACAACACCAGGTACCCTACGCGTACTACGACGACGAGTGGGTGGGATACGACGACATACGCAGTGTCACCATTAAGGTAGACCACCCTGATATCATTCTCCCTCACTCAAAGAATACATGCTCCAAATATTAGTGATAATTTGTGTTGGTATCCCATATGCTTTTTCCTATAAACAGTTCAGGGACGTTTGGCAATGCCCTTCGAAACGCTTTGTTCTTTGCATGAGAAAACACCGCCTCTTGATATTAGCCATCACTCATTTGCACTTGACATTTTAACTGTGGTTTGTTTGCGTATGTAACTTCAATAAAATGAGGACCTTTTGTATGTATTTAAATTAAAACAAATACTGTCTTCACAACTCCTATAGAACTGTGATTGTACTATTTACATTAAGTTGTCAAGCAATGTCCGACGCACCAGAAAACGCTCAAAATCATAACCTATGCCAATATCTAGCTCCAACAAGACAATGATCGCTAGGATATTTCCATTCAAGGCAAACTACATCAAGTCACGTGGTTTAGGGGGCGTCATGGTTTGGGCTATTGACATGGACGACTTCAGAGAGAAATGTGGGAACGGTCCAAACCCTATACTAGGTAAACTGCGAGATGTTCTTCCAAATGACAACACGGGTCTGGTACCATATGTTCCACGGCATGTTTCTCTCCACTCTACTGACGAGGTCCAAGCTGGTAAGTAGTCCACGCAGGGTTTTTACTAATGCCGTGTTCAATCCTGGCTAAGAAACATTACAGAATGTATAACATTCTATTGAAACACAAAATTTTGTAGTGGCCCGTATTCCAAAAAACTGCTCTAACACAAGTTAAATGCTGAAAATATGTTTCATGTTACTAGCCTTTTTTGTGAAAACTAGAAAAACGTAAACCAGGGAATGGGTTGCCAGCTCCAACCTAAAGTCATATTCCTACAAAATTGATGAACTGATATGAAATTTTTAAAGTTATTTCATGAATTACTTGAAATAGGAACTGATCTAAAACATACAATCTGCAATGACCCAGTTTTATATCGGCACCATTGAGGCATGTCTTAATTCGATTTCAATGGTTATTAATGCACATACCGTGAAGCCATTTTCTGTCTTTTGGCCCTGTTGTGTTAAAAGACATGACATATTTTAACTGGAAAACGCTTATACGGCACAGGGATGGAAGAGGAAAATCTATCGCATGAATCGAGCAGAATGCTATAAGTTTAACGTATTTTAAATGGACCTTTATTGATAAGATGCTGATTTTGTCGTGGGGTTTTATTGTGAATTAAAATTGAATGTTTGCCGTATTTTACAGACAATCAAGAGTACAAGCGCGTGTGTTACTATACCAACTGGTCACAACACCGTTCGAAAACTTTGACCTTCGTCCCAGAGGATATTGACCCCGACCTTTGCACACACATCATCTTCTCGTTTGCTAAACTCGAGAACAATGATATCCACACATTCGAACCGAACGATCATGGTAAGTTTGAAACCTAAATTCACGAACAGTACGGATGACACATTTTTCAGAATCCTTCTGAAAATTGAAATTGCATGAAATGATGTTAAAAACTGTACAGTATGTAAAAGGACTTAGCCAAAAATATACTTTCTACTCAGGTAAAACATTATGATTAAGGAAGCTCCACCCTTTCGCAATTAGCCAGCAGAATTCAATGAAAGTTTCACATAATGGTTATGTCACTATGTAGAGAAGATTTTATGAAAATCAAAGCAATTCCGATAAACTGGGGATTTTTTGTAAAAAATATCGAAAAATTGAATTTTTGTCAAATTCAACACTTTCACATTTTTTTGAGCGTGTGGCATTATTAAAAACTATAACAGCAATAAAATAATGAAAAGAAACATTGCTTATCAACCCTACAAATATTTTATTTATCATAAAATATCTACAAAATGTTACAAAAAGCGTTTTTTATTGAAATTGTATGGATAAAAGTTATTTAATACAATCTAAGTGCAAACAGGACACATAGTTTCATACAAAAAGAGTGAAAAACTTGAACCAAATACACACAAAGTCTTTATAATTCATTTAATTTACATTTTACAATTATTTTGATCCTGATGAGAGTTGTCTACCTTGAAAAAAATCGGAACTTTTTGCACAGGGATAGAATTTATACAATGACACTTATTTCATTAACTATACCAAAAACGACGGAAATAAATTAAATTACTATATTCAATTGTCAATTTACTGTCCTTTTATGGAACAAAATTACTCTCAATCATGTTACACTTTGGACATCATTCCATAGCCCGCTTACGCATGGTACATTAACATGTCAGGTACATATGTAACCGTAGGCTATCGCATGGCATGCCGTTATTACGTGCACGTACATGCACTTGCATTTTATAGGGATCCTGATATTTTACAAACCACTATTTTCACAGAGTATTGTAATTGCATTTGTGAACCGATTTATCTGACAGAGCATAACTCGCTGCTCGACAACAAAAGTCGTAGCGACCAAGAGCTTGTGAACTACTGTTAGCACGTGATACGTACATGTGAGGTCGGTAAACAAAACACATCAGTCTGCATTCCATGCGCCTCTTATTTATATACGACCTTCTGATCGTATGTCAGTGTTTTCCTGTGAGTTAATTATTATCTTTGTATCATAAGCTTTATTTCTGAAGTACGAGTAATTGCACATGATTTCGAAGTTATTAGTAAGTCTCGATATCGGGTGTTAACATATCATCGTCACGCACGTGTACTTTTGTTTACCCGGTGTTACTATAATTAACACTACGGTAATGGAATGCCCGAAACGCAATACGGAAATGACGACACGAAAATACGACAAGAAAAACATGTGTATTACGAAGGGTGGAAAGTTCTTAAGCATAAAACTTTAGGTATATGATGTATTATTGTTTTCCACAGATCTGTATCGCCGTGTGCAGGCCCTGAAGGCTGTCCAGCCTCACTTAGTTGTCCTGTTAGCTATCGGAGGTTGGTCCCATGGAACAAATGCCTTTTCAGACACGGTGGCGACCCCGCATAATATCCTTACCTTCTCCAGCAATGCCGTAAAGTACCTCCGGAAGTACAAGTTTGACGGTCTAGACCTTGACTGGGAATTCCCTGGAAGTCGTGGGAGTCCACCAATAGACAAATTTCGATTTACTTCCCTTGTTAAGGTAAGCATGGGTCAAGTGTTTGTACGATTTTTCATTATGTTCTAATGATATTTGCATTCATTCATTTTCTACAGGAAGTTTATATCCTTGTTTTGTATTGTTCTGTTGGGTTTTTTTCCACAAACATTGTTTAATATCATTGTTTAATAACATTTGCGGAAAATAAAACTCATCTAAAAATCACAGTCTTTACCGTAAAACGGTCGTCATCGTAACCTTATTTTCATTTTCAAGACATCTGAGGTCCTTATTGACATATATACTCTCCATGCCGGAATGACGAAATACATGTTAACACATGCCACATGCGGTACAGAATGTTTTACAGTTTTGCTTGCCGGCCTTTAACATTCGTAATATTTATTCCTTCTTTTGTTATGTATCTTCAGTAATTGCCATTGTCTCGGTACCTTCTTTGAATATAATTATGTTCATGTTTTGACAATATAATATTCTATTCAGGGTTTATAAAAGTTATAGTTACGCCTGCATATCATTCCTGATATATATAGGGTTTACGACAGGGTTTATAAACGTTATAGTTAAGTCAGTATATCGTTCCTGGTCTATATAGGGTTTACGACAGGGTTTATAAACGTTATAGTTACGCCAGCATATCGTTCNTTATAGTTAAGACAGCATATCGTTCTTGGTCTATATAGGGTTAACGACATAGTTTATAAACGTTATAGTTAAGTCAGTATATCGTTCCTGGTCTATATAGGGTTTATGATATAGTTTATAAAAGTTAAAGTTTAGTCATTTTATCGTTCCTGATCTATATAGGGTTTACGACAGGGTTTATAAAAGTTATAGTTTAGTCATTTTATCGTGCCTGATCTATATAGGGTTTACGACAGGGTTTATAAACGTTATGGTTAAGTCAGCATATCGTTCCTAATCTATATAGGGTTTACGACATAGTTTATAAACGTTAAAGTTTAGTCATTTTATCGTTCCTAATCTATATAGGGTTTACGACAGGGTTTATAAACGTTATAGTTTAGTCATTTTATCGTGCCTGATCTATATAGGGTTTACGACAGGGTTTATAAACGTTATGGTTAAGTCAGCATATCGTTCCTAATATATATAGGGTTTACGACACGGTTTATAAACGTTATAGCTAAGTCAGTATATCGTTCCTGGTCTATATAGGAGTATATCGTTCCTGGTCTATATAGGGTTTAAAACACGGTTTATAATTGTTATGTAGTTAAGTCAGTATATCGTTCCTGGTCTATACAGGGTTTACGACAGGAGTTTGATCGAACTGCCGGCACCACTGGTTTGCCACGCCTTCTTCTCACAGCCGCAGTTTCTGGGGGACGTTCCGTCATCGACAGTGGATACGAAATACGGAAACTAGCCAGGTACGTAGTCACTGGTCCATATGCAATTACTGCAACTTGGACGTGATTTTGTTTTTAAATTAATGACCACTGAAATATTTAAAACTCTTTTTATTCATTTGAAAAGGTTTAACTTCCAAGAGCTTAGAGTAGTAATCATGAACAGTAAGCTAAGTACTGATAATTGCTAGGTGAATATTATCCGCATCATCGCATATCAAGTCTCGCTTTACTGATAGTTCATATGCCGTCTATTCATGTTGAATTATTTGTATTCGAATAGTTTTTTCTTGAGTATTGCGGAATTTTTATTAATGTTTGTTGGGATATTGGGGAAAATTTTCTCTGATTTTCATATTGTATGTTGTGTTTGCTTATGTTATGGCCATATGTTTTCTTCTGTGATAGTTATCTTGACTTTATCAACATAATGGCGTACGATCTACACGGGAGTTGGGAATCGACAACAGGTCACAACAGTCCACTATATAGCCATGACCAAAACAGTCAGGTCAGTCTGTACAAGTTGGCATACAGTACAAATTTTGATACTCTTGTTAGTCAGATCACGGCTTTATAATATAACAAGTAGCAAAATACATAGCTGTTTTTCTAAGTTTTCGCTGTTGTTTTGGAAAAGTAAAAGGAACCATGCCTCTAACCTTCGCTCTTTGCTCTTATCAGCAGGATTAAACTGGCATTCCTTAGTTTTCTGTCATTGCAAAAGTTATTCACTTTCCGTTTATATCACACTAAAGTTGTGAAACGCGTTAAAGATATAAAACAAACGTGAATTAAATTTCATTTTCTTACGTGGCGTATAGAATTCGATGAGTTACATAATGTCACGTATGTCCCAAGAGCCGCTTTAAAATGACTTGTAATATGATATCTCTTGTAAATTTTCGGCATGTTAATACTACTTCATAAGTGAATTATAAAGTCGTTTAGTTTAGCCAATAAGTGACGAAATAGATCTTTATGAATTAAGATGAAAGTACGTTGATAGTTAAAACATTAGGTCTGACCCTGTCGAACAAATTGTATTGTGTCAACATTACATCTGACCCAGTCGAACAAATTGTATTGTGTCAACATTACATATGACCCAGTCGAACAAATTGTATTGTGTCAACATTACATCTGACCCTGTCGAACAAATTGTATTGTGTCAACATTACNTCTCTCGGAAGATTTAGGACCCATACGTTGTGCTTCAATCAGAAATAACTCCTCACGAATTTGTAATTTATCGCGACATATATTGGTTACTCGTTTCACACAGTCTTCAACCCTTTTCAACATCTGACCCTGTCGAACAAATTGTATTTATGTCAACATTACATCTGACCCAGTCGAACAAATTGTATTGTGTCAACATTACATCTGACCCAGTCGAACACATTGTCGCTTTTCGTATGATTCTGCGATCGTTAATCCAGTGAATTTTCCTATGTATGGCAATAAGGTAAATGTGGCTTCTACAATACGCCTGGTGAGGCAAGTAGCAGTCGGGAAAAGGCTTCGAGCAGTTATACTTGACATAAATATAAATCATTTGAATGTTAAATCTGCTGATACCAATACTCTACAATATTTATGAAATCGTATGACTTAAATTTCAGCCGCAATTTTTCGGACGGATTGCGGCATGGTCACTTTAAGTGTTGCCAGATAAAATTGAATACATATTTAAGTAAAATACATGATTTTCTGCCCAAAACATGTTATAAAGAATTGAACTTTATAAACCTTGAAACCCAAACATTGATATTATACAAGTAGTTGTGAATACAATGAGTCTTCCTGGAGGTATAGCTATGTCTGACTGTTCTCTGTGCTGTAGGACTTCGCGGTGAGATACTGGATGAATCAGGGAGCTCCCAGGGGTAAACTGGTGTTAGGTCTTGGCCTGTACGGGCGTTCCTTTACCCTCCGTTCCAGTGATGACCACGCCCTAGGGGCGGAGGCAGTTGGCCCGGGGTTGGCGCAGCCTCATACCAAAACAGACGGTTTCATGGCCTATTTCGAGGTGGTTAAAGTATACAGTACATATGTATCTTATTGCACTGAGCTTATCTTACTGTTATTTCCAATTTAATGAAAAGCTATTTTTCTTGTATTGCATAATTTAATCATTGACTAGATATATAATGAATGGTTTCTTGTGGAGTATCGTGATCGTAAATATAAATGAAAACATTCATATACGAGTGATATATATTGTTTAAAAGACGTCACAAAAACTTTATGTAAACCCTATAGTGAAACATCATATTTTGATATTTTTTTCTACTGATTAGTTCGGTAGAATGAATTAAACACATCGGATACGGCCCGAAGGATATTCTTTATTGAGACAAAGTTCACCTTGTTTATTTAAAATGTGCAATCGTGTACAACACGTATTATCTACCGCTTTGCCGAATTATTATTTCCATTAAGCTTTTAGTTTTATAAGGATAAACATAAAAAACGTTCTATGTTGAATACCAAATATGTGTTGACAAATTATTTGATTCGATGTACTGCCGGTAACTACTCCATAAAGGTACACTCAATTTGCTAGTTGTATTAGAGGAGTATCTACGAAAGCGTCTTTAATAGAGAAACATTAAAGGGATTTATAATCAAGATTTATTTACCATTGAGTTACATTAATAAATTTGTTTAATTTCTTTAAATGTGTATTTGTGAGTTATTGCTAACATGTTTGCCTATATATTATTGATACATTGAATCCAAAGGTTTGTTCAAATATCATAATTAGATCGTGTGTTTATGTTGTAGATTTGTTCGCTGGTGGTTCGTGGTTGGTTCCGACAGTGGAGTAACGATAGCAGTGTTCCGTACGCCTACTCAGATACACAGTGGGTCGGCTACGATGACGTGGACAGTATTGCAATTAAGGTGCACCTACGGTCTATACTTCCTGTCTTGTTGGTCTCGAAACGTATTTCTTGTAATAACAGCAGGCTCCGGTAGTGTAATCCAAGTGGATTTTCGTTCTTCATACAAACACACATTTATTCAATTGTTGATTTAGATTTATTTGCTAAACGGATTAAAAGAAATAATATAGAAGATATCTTGACTCAGAAACCCTCTTTGATAGAAAACTTAACTTCGTCTTCTGGGGAAGCTTCAAGATTCAAGATTATCCGATCGTTTCCAAAATCCACTTTGTACAATAGTAAATACCTAAGGTATCTTTTCCAATTAAATCTTTAGGGTATTGAATAATGCTTTTGCGTCTTTAAGAAAGTTCAGAGACACTTATACTCCTGCATCAAATATAAATCATTCTTTTGAATTTGTCTTGGTTAATAAATAGAAGTCTTATTATCAAAACGATTTTAAAAATAAGATATATTAAATAATTCAGAATTAACGACGTACACTGCTGACGGTAGGTCCTATATTACGATTGCAATGTTAGAGACAGGTTGTAATGACTTTGGCGATGTTTTGAGTCTTCCCCTGTATAATGATAAACTACATAGTTAGGGTTTTCTACCATAGTGACATCAATCCACGCTGAGAACAGAATAAGCGCCAATGAGGTTGGTTTATCTTGTTGAAATACTGCACTAATACCTTGCCCATAAATATGTGTAAATAGCTATTGAAATGTGTCTTAATGTAAAAACGTGAAAGGCATTTCATGAATAAGGAAGCGGTATATTTACATCAGATAAATCATTTTATAAATAATTGTCGAAATTACCTTGAACAAGATTTATTAATCATTTTACTTCAGACCTGTTGAATTGTATTGAATACATATGTTTGTGTATGGTTGCTGATTTCTCACAAAAACTTTTATCAACAGGGAAGTTATTACAAGAAATCATATATTTCTTTGATCAAATACCTCATGCCTTATACCCGCACATCGAGTTAGACATATCAAGTAGGTTGGGACATCATAATTATAGAATATGTATTTTTCATTTGACTATAAATAATCTGGAAGAAATGTTATATTTTTTTCTGTATTTAGTGGTTATCCCCCAACATCCTCAAACCTCGCAAACTGCATTTGGTCAAACTCAGCCTTTGAGTTGACATTGGCAATCTTTTGACGACTTATTTTGTAAAAGGCAAAACTTTAGAATCAAGGCCGAGGAAAGTTTTAATTGATCAGTTATAGTATTTCACAGTTAAAACCTTGATCATTAGGTCTTATATAATGGCATAGTTATTACTGACCTACATACTTTCCATGACTGGATTTAGGTCATCATGATCGGAATCACTTAGATGAAGGGACCGCTTACCGTTCCGGAGTAGCTGATGTCGACTTTCTTTTTACCTGTTTTATTTTCTACTTTTGGCTACCATTTGCTCTTGTGTGTTGACGCTGTCGATATTGTTTTCTATTTATTTTGCTTTAACATATGTTTGGTCGTGTAAATTCTATCCTTACATTGACTATACTTCGTATACAAAAGCACACTGTAAGAGAGACGCCATCAGGTTTGTTAAATATATGTAACGTATCTTTACAGGCCCAGTACGTTCGATCTAAAGGTCTGGGTGGGGCTATGGTCTGGTCGGTAGATATGGACGACTACAGGAACGTATGTGGAGACGGCAGATATCCTTTAATGAATAAACTAAAGGAAGTCCTCACGGCACCTCTCGCATCACTTCCAGCGGCACCTGCAGCAAACCAAGTCTCAACAATAGCCACAGCCAGGGGTCCCTCTCCGACAGCCCTGCTTGCATTACCCTCAGACAAAACTACAACATTACCATCACCAAAGCCTCTCAATCAAATGGAACAGAAATCACTAGATATGGCAACCTGTGGTAAGATTAGTACTAGAAATATTAAGAAAGATGTGTATATTTTAAAATTTGGTACGTCCATTTCGTCCTTGTAGAATCCATCAGTGAAGCGCAATGTCAAATAAATGATACATAATGTGTAGAACTACATGGTAGAGGGGAGACATGTTTGTTAAAATGTTTTATTATATGCATGATCATTTCTCGCAATCACATTGGTCGGATCCTATACACGTGACCAGTCCTCAAAAACTCATGTAGATTGGTTATCCGGTGAATATCGATTTCTAAATATAGCCTGTATGGAAATTCCCCGGAACCTGTCGTAGCGCATGCGCAGTTAGACTGGAACGTGATCTGTCAGACGACATTAGAAGATGGCTGCTGGCGAACGTTTCTCCTCCGTTAGGAAAATTAACAAAACTATTCGAGGATAAAGATGCTGTTAACGTAAAAAAGGCCATTGAACACGCAGTGCATTTTCTCCATGCTTACCTTAAGAAAAAGAATCTAGACGATGCCTTCGAAAGCTACAATGCTGAACTGTTGTATTCAAACCTGGCTAAATTTTACACGGAGGCTCGCGTACAAAAATCAGAACCTTTGGTTTTGTTTTGTTTTATTTTATTGTTGAAGCATATAATAAAACAGTTATGGGCTTTTGTGCTGGTAAATATGATGTGACAGGAACCTGAAAGAGTGATATTGACCTCGGCTTCGCCTAAGTCAATATCACTCTTCCAGGTTCATATCACATCATATTTACCAGCACAAAAGTCCATAATTGTATAGTGATGAATGACAAGAAACATTTGCTGATATTTGCTTTCACGTTAGTTTCTTTACTGTAATAAAACTGTAATACGGAAGGTTTCATGTTACAAATTATTCATCGGTAAAAATCATCACTTGTATATATGCTGTATCGCCTCAGGTAAATCAAAACCTCAAACCTATATATTGCCATTAATAAACGTATATTAAATCAGCTTTACAAACCATGTTGTCTATCTCTATACCTGTTTCTAGGTCCACCGTCCGTGTGTCCTTATGGTTGGTTTATACCGGACGCCTGCAATGTCTCTGTGTACTACCAGTGCAGCTTCAGATTGGCCATCACCCGTCTATGTCCACCGAGACTCGAGTGGAATATTAGAAGACTTACATGCGATTGGCCAAGTGTAGACACCCGAATCATGCTTAACGTCAAAACTACTGTCAGTCAGAGCAACTCCACTTTAACGAATAACAAAATCGTGTCTACTTTTCGGACAACCGTTTCTTTACCGAAGCTTCTCACAGGTACGACCAAGCACAGTCCGAAATTAGAGAAAAATGACGAAATATTGCCTACTTTTCGGACAACCGTTTATATACCAGAACCTCACACAGATACAACCACGCCCAGTCCACATGTGAAGAAGAACGACAACATCCTGCCTACATTTCGAACATCAGTTTTCATAGCGGAAGCCATTTCCACAACAACCACACTTCGAGTACCATCATCCACGGATAGAACTCAAAGGCCAAGGCCCGTAATCAAATACGAAGACTGTCGTAAGTGCTTGTCATCCATGGTTACCTATATGTAAAAGCAAAATATTTTGTCGAGCAGGTCTATCCTTGGCCATTTCTCTGGAATATTAAATTCTTTTCTTTTTTCAAATAGATCAAAGTCATAGTATACCTTACTATACATTAATTCAAATAGAACTGATCATATATTTATTTGTACAACTGTTAACTTTCTGTATTATTCCGTAGAACCGATGTCTTGTCCTGCCGGCCAGCTTGTCGCAGACCCCTGTGACCAGAGTTGCTATTTCTCCTGCGCACAGGCCGACCTGTCCTACCATGCCTGCTGTCCAGCACCAACTGTATGGGACGATCGAATTAACAACTGTAACTGGCATTGGGTCCGCTAGTCTATGGGCGGGGCCTTTTCTAAAAGTGCCAGATTGCAGAAGTTACAGTTATAAATATGACGAGTCATAATATTGTATAATAGACTTGTGACGTAATGTGACCGGGGATACGGTCACATGGTGTAGAGGAGAATAATAGGACATAGAAAGTTTTTGAATATGCATTTTTTATTATTCCATTGACATGTTAACATAATATTTTATCATTACCTAGACATTATTACTCATAAATATGTAAGGCGTCTGTTAAAACTATAAACGTTTATTTTTAATTAGGTCCGTTTCAATATCGTTTAGGATGTATGTCGTAGTCAAAAGTGGTGTTCTGGTGTTCATCTTTTCTTTCTGCTGTTTTCCTTCTCAGCATCGGACTTCACCAGTTTTCTGTAAATAAATTTTGTAATACATATAATCGACGTAGGGATAGTCTTTTTCATCCATGATATGAATTATTGTTATTTCAACGAAATGTTATCGCAGGTTTTCAATGACAATATACTGAGTTTCACTTGTCAAATAAACTTGACACGTAAATCAACCGAACACGTATCGGAGTCAGCTGTTGTTTTATCATGTATATCATATCTTATTACTATCAGCATAATTTAAACATACAAGCATTTCACACAGGAACAGGTTTGCTATGTTCATTGCTTGAATTGATGGGCCTTTCAGGGATCAGGTAGTCCCACGGACATCCATTCTCTCTCATTACTAAATTATTTGTTCGATATACATGTATGACAACCCAACTCACAAGTGTCAGGGTCAGCTTTGGTGTTGTTTCATTCTATCGTCAGGGAAGGAAATCTTACTCAAGAAAAGTCGGCTGATAATTAATCATATGATTTTTTCAAACTTTTAATCACCAAAGTGTGATTAAGATTTTATAAGTTCGAAAGCTAAACAACTCTAGATATTTACAGAAGGTGACGCAGTTCGTTCATCAATTTCTCCTCCTTCTCTTCTTCCATTTGTTCCTCCTTGGCCTGTGATAGTGCGTTTGTTCGCTCCATGTGCTGCTGGTACTGCCTCGGTCTTTTTATTGTATTTGGAGATAGATGTTCTCTCCGCTGAATATTAAGTCTTTGTTTTTTACTGCCGTCAGGTAAGCTCCGTCGTTTTGCCCAATTACAAGTGTAAGTACTTTGGTCCCAGACTAGCGGACTGTTACAACGCATATGGTACATCGTACCATGGGCACCGCACTGGTAATAACGACTTGGGTCGCATGGATCCGGAATACCCCAGCCATTGCATGCAGTCGGAGCTGAAGCATAACAAGTTAATAAAGTAAACACTAAAGCAATAAAATGGAAGAAACCGGCGCTATACCAGCTTTCCGAGTACTTGTCATATAGTTGTTATGAGGTTAATACGGAATTACTTTACCAAACAGGTTGTATCTAAAATAAGTACTACAAAACAAGAACAAAAATATAAAAAAAATCTCCCATTTCCATCGTATCCATCGCGGGGAAAAAACTAACGTTGTTGAATCGGTAAATCAATACGTTTTCAAAACCAACTAGGGAATTGAACCCGCCGCCATGGTTAAAAGAGAATGAACAATCAGATGCTGAATAAAAATAACGGGTACTTTTTTCGACAATTCAAATTTCTGCACATCTTTTTTGTTATCTTGGTTCTCTTACAAGAAAAATGATACATATACGTTACAGCTGCAAAACACCAGACAGTTATAGGCAGTACTTACTAATTGTTGTATGTACACCCGAAAAATTAAATTTATGAAAATAATAAGAGCACCAAAAACGTATATATTACATCTGCCATTATATGTTGCTTGGAGACATTATTTGGTTGTTTGGTTGGTCATTATTTGTAAAATCTACCAGTAAACGCGCAGTCTACGTACAACTTTACACGGATGATGCTCAGTATCAAACTATGCCGAATTAAGCAGAACGTTGTACTAAAGACAATAATTTTAAAAGCGGTACCTGTGCAAGCCGTATTTCCTGGTTGCTGTGTGGTAGGTTTCACAGTGGTGGTTTGTCTCTGTGTGGTTGTTGTTGGTCTCTTCGTTGTAGTGGTTGGTCTCCGCGTGGTTGTGGTTGGTCTCTGCGTGGTTGGTTTACGAGTAGTCGCCATGCTCGTAGATGGTGTTTGTGTCACAACAGGTGGTGCATTAGTGTCTGTTACTGATGGTGTCGTCGAATCAAACACTCCTTTTACAGAGTTAATAAGTGGGAAATTACCTTCTCCACAGCTGTTGTCGAAATCATCGTAGTCTAACCAAAACATCGCACCTCCCAATCCATTGTTTATAACGTAGTCCGCCTGAATCAAGTAATGAAAAAGGTATTAACAATGAACAACATTAAAATTATCTACTTTTTTAAAATATCTTGATCATATTGTATCAAGGTCATGCTATATCAAGATCGTATTGTACGAAGGTCATGTTGAATCAAGGTCGTGTTGTATCAAGTTCATGTTGTACCAAGGTCGTATTGTATCAAGGTCATGTTGTATCAAGGTCATGATGTACCAAGGTCGTATTGTACCCTGTTCGTATTGTATCAAGGTCATGTTGTATCAAGGTCATGTTGTATCAAGTTCATGTTGTACCAAGGTCATGATGTATCAAGTTCATGTTGTACCAAGGTCATGTTGTATCAAGTTCATGTTGTACCAAGGTCGTATTGTTTCAAGGTCATGTTGTATCAAGGTCGTGCTGTATCAAGGTCATGTTGTATCACGGTCATGTTGTATCAAGTTCATGATGTGCCAAGGTCATGTTGTATCAAGGTCATATTGTATCAAAGTCATGTTGTATCAAGGTCGTGCTGTATCAAGGTCATGTTGTATCAAGATCATGTTGTACCAAAGTCATGATGTATCAAGGTCATATTGTAACAAGATAATGTTGTATCAAGGTCATGTTGTACCAAGGTCATGATGTATCAAAGTCGTATTGAATCAAGGTCATGTTGTATCAAGTTCATGATGTTCCAAGGTCATGTTGTATCAAGGTCATGTTGTATCAAGGTCATGTTGTACCAAGGTCATGTTGTATCAATGTCATGTTGTATCAAGGTCATGTTGTATCAAGGTCATGTTGTATCAAAGTCATGTTGTATCAAGGTCATGCTGTATCAAGGTCATATTGTATCAAAGTCATGTTGTATCAAGGTCATGTTGTATCAAGGTCATGTTGTATCAAGGTCATGTTGTACCAAAGTCATGTTGTATCAAGGTCGTGCTGTATCAAGGTCATGTTGTATCAAGGTCATGTTGTATCACGGTCATGTTGTATCAAGTTCATGTTGAACCAAGGTCATGTTGTCCCAAGGTCGTATTGTATCAAGGTAATGTTGTATCAAGGTCATGTTGTACCAAGGGCATGATGTATCAAGGTCGTGATGTATCAAGGTCATATTGTAACAAGGTCATGATGTATTCAGGTCGTGATGTATCAAGGTCGGGATGTATCAAGGTCGTGTCGTATCAACGTCGTGACGTAACAAAACAGTTTTTTATAATGGTTATGAAAGTATCTGTATCACGGTGGTGTTTTATCAAAGTCGTATTGTACCAAGGTGGTGTTTTAACAAAGTCATGATGTATTACAGTCCAAGATTTTGTCTATAAGTGTTTTCGCTGTAGCGATGTTTTTTTTTTTAAATGTTTATAGATGATTTGGTTGTGCTCTATTCCTGAGTAGTAACCCTGTGGTACATCTTTTTTTCTTATATTTGTTCAAGCTGCTATGCAGTTTATTTTGTGTGTGCCTGAGGTATATTATGTAGATTTGTGCTAACATTGTGTTTCATATTATCAATAGTTATTGATGATGACGTAACATGTTTACTTAGACACATAAAAATGACGCTATGCAGATTTTGTGTGGATGCTTCCGTAAAAGCATACTTGTCATACTGCAAAGAAAAATGTCGCACGGTGATTGGTCGAATTGCCAAGGTACCTGAAGCTATGTTAGTATCCTTACCGGGGTACATAAGAGCACGCGCGCCTGTTGTAAGGGAGATAACTCGCAGATTCGAATCGAACACACTGGAGAACGTTCGTCTGCTAATGTCAACAATGAATCAAGGTCTTGTTGTACCAAGGTCATGATGTATCAAGGTCATGATGTATCAAAGTCGTATTGAATCAAGGTCGTGTTGTAACAAGTTCATGATGTACCAAGGTCAGGTTGTACCAAGGTCATGATGTATCAAAGTCATGTTGTATCAAGGTCATGCTGTACCAATGTCATGTTGTATCAAGGTCATGTTGTATCAAGGTCATGTTGTATCAAGTTCATGTTGAACCAAGGTCATGTTGTACTAAGGTCGTATTGTATCAAGGTCATGTTGTACAATGTATCAAGGTCATGTTGTACCAAGGGCATGATGTATCAAGGTCGTGATGTATCAAGGTCATATTGTAACAAGGTCATGATGTATTAAGGTCGTGATGTATCAAGGTCGGGATGTATCAAGGTCGTGTCGTATCAACGTCGTGACGTAACAAAACAGTTTTTTATAATGGTTATGAAAGTATCTGTATCACGGTGGTGTTTTATCAAAGTCGTATTGTACCAAGGTGGTGTTTTAACAAAGTCATGATGTATTACAGTCCAAGATTTTGTCTATAAGTGTTTTCGCTGTAGCGNTTGGTCGAATTGCCAAGGTACCTGAAGCTATGTTAGTATCCTTGCCGGGGTACATAAGAGCACGCGCGCCTGTTGTAAGGGAGATAACTCGCAGATTCGAATCGAACACACCGGAGAACGTTCGTCTGCTAATGTCAACAATGAACAAAATGGCGAAACGGTTTGCAAGCCACACGGAGAGTGAAATTGAGACAAAACGGGCGTCACTTATACCTACAAACACAAAGAAAAGTAACAATTCAGCAAGCAAAACCTTCAGAGCATACTTAAGCGAAAAGGAGCAAGACACAGATTTTGAGGACTTCTCGAAGCCAAGATTAGACGAGGCATTGGGCCATTTTTATCTCGATGCAAGGCTTGAACGCTTGAACATTGCTTTGCAGTATGACAAATTCGTTATACAGGTCTTTGGCAGGGTACATGGTCTCACTAATATTGTCCTTTCCAATCAAGGATGTGGTATTATATGTCCCGATATGTGTACGATGTGACATCACTTTGGAAGCTTTTGTGCTTGTGTGTTCATGTTGCAGTAAATTGTTCTATATTTTTAACGTATTTGCACATAATTACTTTATGTAATAAGGCGTTTTATACTTTATATGTTTAAAATGCCATATATCTGTCAGTGTATTTGACGATGAGGTATATTTTGTACATTTATGTTGACGCTGTGGGCTATGTGTACTATATTTTGTACGTTCGTGTTGAGATTGTGGTATATTTTAGTATGTGTGCTGGCGCTGTGTCATATTTGAATATTCAATCATGTCCTTTGTAGATATGGTACACTTTGTCCTGGTAACACAGTGGTCGATTTCGTCGTTGAGTGTTCAGACTTATTTGTGTTTTATACTTTTGTGTTTTTGCTGTCGTGTACTTATTCACAGTTTTTTAACGGTGTTTTTATTTGTCCTTGTCTGTTTAAGCTACGATAGACTTTTTCGTGATGTGTTAAAAGATATCCATATACATACATGAATGAGATAAAATTGGAAAAAATAGCCGATTTTTCTTCATAAATAGAAATCATAAATTCGAGACAATATGTAAAATATCTTCAAAACAATGTTTACGAATGGAAATGTTTGTTGATACTTGTAAAAAAAATTCTGATAACCCTTAACGCCAATGGGCCTTTTATATTTTATTTCACTTGACATACGGTACCAGTCCGATCAATATATATAATCTTTTCATTTCCTTTGGGAGTTCCCTCCCCTTCACCAACCTTCAGTGTGAGGCTCTCCATGTCGTCATAACCGACCCATTGGTATCCGTTCCACGCTAGAGGCACGCCCTGTACAGTATTCATAACGCGGCTCCATCCGTCATACAGGTTTTTACATATCTGTAAAACGTACAATCTGTAACTGTACCCGTCAACTAAATTGTTAACACGACATAAGTTGGTAAAGCATCGATCATATTCACTGTACCTGTTACATACCATAACTGGTTAGTAAATATTACATAGCATATTTGCCGGTACCATAAACTGTAAATGGGCATAACATGGCCAACCTGTCGCATACCATAAATGGTAAGAGGACATAAGATGGCATATCTGTCATATACCATTAAATTGTTTGTAAATATAACATGGTATATTTGTCACGTATCATAATTTGTAACTGGACATAACATGACCTACCTGTCACATACCATTAAAAGGTTTGTAAATATAACATGGCATATTTGTCACGTACAATAATTTGTAACTGGACAGAAAATGATCTACCTGTCACATACCATTAAAAGGCTAGTAAATATAACATGGCACATTTGTGAGACACCATAAAATGGAACTGGACATAACATGACATACTTGTCACGTACCATAAATGGTTAGAGGACATGACATATCTAATATATACCAAAGTTATTGGAACATATGACATACTCGTATCATACCATGAAATGTTAATGACACATTATGGGTTCATATATATATATATTGTAACCGTATATATTGCTACGGAACTCTACAAACATAATTCCAATTATGTTGAACAACCATAAATATTTGTTTCAACATGATGCACAAACCTCATAATAGGCGAGAAGTCCGAGTTTGTTTGTATATTGTCCCGGGAGCCCGGGACCAGTTGCAGGATCCCCTACTCTGTACTGGTTTGTATTCGTCAGGGTGAAGGTCCGACCGTATGTAGCCAGGCCCAATACAAGCTTCCTAGGACTGGCCCCATTATCTAACCAGTGCCGAATGGCGTAGTCCTACGACATGTTGGGAAGAAAAATGAAACAAGTGAGCTTTGTTACAGCGAACATTTTTTTCTAAGATTGAACAACAAAAAGGAAATGAAATGGACCGTACAGAAGACTGGCTCAACAAACTGGAAATAGTTCAACAAAATATTTCAATATTTATGTAATGAAGTAGAGTAGAAGAATCGAAGATAACAGAGAGAATAAAAGGAGAGGAAAACTAGTAGCATATGTTAAAAAGTACGCAAGGAAGGATAACTGTGATTCAACAAAATAGCTCCAATTTACATAATTAAATTAATAAATTGCTAAAATATAAGCGTTTCAGTATAACAATGAAAAGTGGCCAGTAAACGGTAGGTCTTTTTTTAAGACTTAATTTGTCTGCAATCCTGTTGTTGCGACAGCCCTAAATGTTTAACTTTCAGCAGGGAATAACAAATACCATTGCCTACCCCACTTGGGCAAACGCTCAAGACTAAGGCCAAAATAGATATATTGCAAAGTAAGGCACTAGGAAACAAACCTGTTTTTAGCAAGCAGCAGAGAGAAAAGGCTTAGACTATAGTTTAGGTAAAAGGAGTGATATCATTGGAGGAAGAATTATAATGTCCCATTACGCAAAGGCGGTTAAATTAGTTGAAGAAACATGTATAACATGACATCATTAAGTTGAACATAAGCTTGGTCATTTGTTGGACGGATCAAGGCAAGACGTCCGGAGTTCAACTGTTGTATATGAAATAAAAATAAATAAATATTCAACATTTGATATAGCGCCCTATCTAGCCAACATAAGCCACTCTAAAGCGCTTTACAGTACATAGATATACAATTTTATACGGTCAATACAATAAGCAGATTTATTAATCAATACATTATTGAGGAATTCGCAGGAGCTGCCTTATCAGGCGCTAACTACTAGTCCTATGCCACCTGGCTAATATCTCCCTATGTGTGTATGCCTGTGTGTGTGCCGGAGATGCATTGTTCTGTTTGTAGTGGGACCGTGCTTCCAACGGTATCATTTATAGCGCCACCTCATTTGAATGCTACAGCACAGATACCGCAACACCCACCCCAGACCATTTTATACTCCACCTGGGTTGTTGGAGTTGTGTGGGCAGGAGAAAAACACTTTTTCTGGATATTACATGCGTACGGCGACTTCGGGGATGGAACCCCGGCCGCCTGCTTGGAAGGCCGGAGTGTTAACCACTCGACCAATCCGCCCTAGAGATACTCAAATACAACAAATGTAACAAATATTACCTGATTGCGGTATACGTCTGTCCCTGTGTCCGACGGGTGTCCGTACAGTGGACTGTTAAATCTCGTCACATTATTGGTGGTACCTTGCATGTCATACGCCATCAGATTAATCATGTCCAGATACCTGTGAACAACCGATGATTTTTATTTTGAGTTGTCAGTCAGTACGGGAGGAACGGTACATGTCTCTTTTTTACATTACTAACATGATGGAGAATTTATCTGAATACGATAACCGCCTTCTTTACAGTGCTGCAGCCGGTCTATTCTTACCCACGATATGAGTTGTACCACATCCTTTGTTTAAAGTCTATTGATATATGTGGCATACATTGGCCCGTAATCATGAAACCGTTCGCATGCTAAAGCCTGGATTATGTGCTCAAACAAACCAGCTTTCTTGTAACTTGGATATATCTTATGATACCGTCAATTAATCAAGTCTATAAATGTTGAAAACAGCATTTAGCTATGAGTATGTCCACAATTTCTCCAAATCACTGACGAAATGCGAAGATTAATCGTTTTATCACTGGAACAAGAAACTGGGATTGAGCACAAAATCTTAATTCCACCTGAACGGTGTCATAAATTCGGACCCTCAATTCAAAATCAATTTGAAGTACAAATAGATAAAGCGGGTGTGTAGTAACAAGTTCACAAATCAACTTCCTTGGAACAATTCAATGGTAAACGTGCTTGACAACTCACAGACAACCCATTAAGCGGCAACAGACAAACCATTAGGCGACAACAGACGTCCCATTAAACGACAGAGATGGTGGTTAAACAGAAGTGAGAATCGACCGATTGTTTAACACATTCCGTCACTTTAATAGATTACAGTGTAATATCATCAACTATATAACATGGCCGGTTGAAGAGTTGCGCTGTTTTACGGCAATTCATCAGTGACAATCACAAATTACTTCCTTACGAAAACTCGTTATTAATTTATTGCGAATAATATAAAAAAATATCTGAAGTATTTCAAATAGGTTTTAGGTAAATGGCTATGTCATTGTGTATCAATAAGCAAACTTTCACCTTAAACTTTTGCCTACGATGCCTGGCTTGTCGCTTGTAAGCACTCGACAATGTCAATGGTTATTGTAGAAGAAAGAAGTTTTGTAAATTATTCATCTATATATATATATATAGCTCGTCTTTATTTTAACCTAAAACCAACTAACCCAAATTAGATTAACATGATAAACAAATCATTATTGGTAAAACTTCAGTAGAAACCGTGTATTGCATAAACGATTGTTTATGTATTGATCAAAGCCAAGTAGCAAACTCAACCACGGGTAACGTTGTTTACCCTATTTTAACTTACATTGATAGTTTAGGCACATCGTAGCTGCGGTCCACTATCGGAGGGAAAGCAGACACGCTAGCACTTAGTAGCAGTCTCGGTCCGTCCGCTACATCAGCTTCAACCTTAAATACTTCCATTATACCCTGGAATAAATATTATATAGAAGTTACTATGTTCTAATACGTTATACCATGGCTGCATATATTTCTGTCAATTTTACCATGTGAAGAGATATTAGACAACAAAACTCTTGTTAAGGTATATAGAACCGTCTCTAAATAAGAGTGAGAGTACCGTCTCTAAATCAGGTTATAGTACCGTCTCTAAATCAGAGTGAGAGTACCGTCTCTAAATCAGGAGTACCGTCTCTTAATCAGAGTGAGAGTACCGTCTCTAAATCAGGCTATAGTACCGTCTCTAAATCAGAGTGATAGTACCGTCTCTAAAAGAGGCTATAGTACCGTCTCTAAAACAGAGTAACAGTACCGTCTCTAAATCAGAGTTAGAGTACCGCGACAACGGTTGGTCGGGTGGTGCAAAGGACAGCGTGCTGATCACCTTTCATCGAGCTTAGAAACCATCATTGAGACGTTAAAAGATACATGTAACAGTCACTTACCCGACCTCTAGGTTTTCTACAAGTTTTCTAACTCTGATCTCGTCACGGTAACTCTTATATTTACTCTGATCTACGAGAGATTGAACAAGTACCTTGACAAGGTCAGTAAAGTGATCTTTATGGGATGTTCCCTGATCCCCTGGAAACTCCCAGTCCAAGTCCAGTCCATCAAAGTGGTGCAAACGAAGATACAGCACGGCGTTCGTGGCGAACTCCAGGATTCCATCTTTGGTAGAGGCCGTTTTAATGAATTGGTCGGTTCCTTGGGCGTAGCCTCCGACGGACAACAAGATCTTTAGATCCGGGTTTGTGTCACGTAAATAACGCAACTTCATCAGTGTATCTGTTAGAAATTATAGAATAAATGTATATGCCGTAGTGATGTATTTCTTCCGTTCAAACAGTTTTGGTACCAAAAAATTTTACACTCAATAAAGCAATCATATATATACGTACTGTACTATATGGACATCAGATAATGCAGATGCACTATAGCAGCGCGTTCGATTGGGAACCTGTCAACTCTCTAAAAATGTCCCGTTACTGTTCAGCATTATATATATGTCACTCCTATACTATTAATACTGTCTATTTAGTATGACCAAATATAATGTAAATGAAGTGTAGTAAAACTTTGTGTCGAAAGGTTACATGGTAAGGTCATAATTTGTACATAAAAAGATTTAATTAAAAATAAACCTGAACTTGAACTTTTAATTGTTTATGTCGCAAACCCGAGCAATTATCCCTACAGCGTATCTGCAATTTTCTTGTAAGACGTTATTTTTTTTAAGTGAAGATGATTCTCTAAACATTTAATTTCGACGTTTGCTTATGTTTCTGTTTTTGTCGTTATATTTACCATCGTCGTCCTCGTACATGTAGATGTCGTTGTCCTTTATTTGAGCAGAGGCGTATATGATGTGAGTACAGAGGAAGGGATCGATGACGTCAGGAGAGAACGGAGCCATTGGCGCGGAACGGTACTTTGCCCAGCTGCTGTAGTAACACACACGCTTCATTCCTGATGACACAAACAAAACGGACAAATATTCCTCATGAAATGTTCAGATTTTAGGTATTTCAGAAAGCCTTGCAATTTAAACGTCACTTTGGATTATTTTCAAATCCTAGAAGACATGAAGGAACCATAGGCTTGAACTTGTAGATTTGTCGCTGTGAATTACTTTTAAATATGTAGCTTGATCAGTGAATATACAAACACATATGAATATACTAATCTGAAACGTGTAATAGAACTGATGAAACAAATACTTGTAAATATATGAGTTTTAATGTTTTTTGTCATTCTTATTTATGTGTCAGAGTGAATAGCAACACTCGGGATAAGGTGATACTACTTTCCGACATCATACTTCCGTTGTGATATCACGTTTTCACCAACTCTCTCAGCAAATAATGTGTTTATAACAGGGAAAGGTAGTTTTAATTCTCTTTGCATGATATTTGTTGAATAAACCAGATAACCAACTTATAATGAAGATAGAAAGTCATAGCAAAGGTTTCCCCTAACGAGGTGTTTACTCACTTTCAGCAATTAGTATCATGAAAGAATGTGTCCTAAATATCATATTCATGAAAGAAGTATAGTTTTGGAAATTCAATGACTAACATGTATACAAAGCACATGACTGTCCTGCATGTACATACCATCCGTGTCAGTTATTGGAGCGGTATTTCCGTCAGAGTCCTCCCTGAGAAGTTCATCCTTTATAGTCGTCATCAGGGGGTATCTCCCTTCCCCACACTTGTTGTCAAAGTCGTCCATGTCTAACGACCACACCATGGCACCGCCTAGTTCTTCTTCTTTAATATACTCCATCTACAACATGCAAAATCGAACAATTAAAGGCGGAAAGTTCATGAGAATATTATACCATGTGGGTGAGGTAAGTATTTGCCCAGCCGAGGCGTCCTATATTCCCCAAGGACTGGCTATGTTCTTGATGACACTGCATCATCATGAACACACCTCAGGTGAACACATATGCACTTTTCCTCCAAACAAAATGGACACTCCAACACATACTTGTGGGTTAACGTAGACGTGATAACCCTACTAACATTCGTGTTCTATTGAATACCCCTGACCAAGATATAAATATTTTGAAAAGTATAGTTATGTTGTTAAAAATCTTGCGGTGTAAACATAATTATGAAAACATAAGTCTAAACAAACCTGTTATCAGTTACTAATTTAAAACAATCAGTATCTAAAATGTATTCTATTCATTTGACTAGATGTTAATATTTGTGTTACATGTAAGTATTTGCTAGACTATTTAGTAACAATAATTATTACAAAGTGCCTGCAGGTTTTTTTTTTTTTTTCTATATCAAACACAGACCCAAACAGGATGACTCTACAGCATTTGTTAGCTCCCTTTACACTAACTGTCTACTCTACTCAGTGCACAACCTACAAGACGTTCCGACCTTTACAGTAACTGTCTACTCTACTCAGTGCACAACCTACAAACAATAGATACCGGCCTTTATAGCAACTGTCTATTTTACTCAGTGCACAACCTACAAGACGTACCGACATTTACAACAACCTTCTCTCATATCCGGCCATGTAAGATAACGCTGGCCATGTAAGATAGCCAAGCTTTCTGAGTCTAACTTACATTGGCTAATCACATCGCGTAGTGATACAAGATCTAAGGGGAGCAACAATAACAACTGAACCATAGAGTTTTTATGAAAATGTGTTGTTTTTTATGCGTGCAACAACGTTGCAATTTGAGGGTATAGAAAATTCATTTCTACTGCTATTTTTGTTTTTAAAGCACGGAGATTGTATTTAAAAAACTGAAGTCTCGGGATTTACCCAAATTTATTATCCCCTCTGGAGGAATTCTCTATCCACTTCCGGTACATACGAAAGAGTCTTAAATTCTACTCTACTCAGTGCACAACCTAGGTACCGACCTTTACACTAACTGTCTACTCTACTCAGTGCACAGCCTACAAGAGGTACCCACCTTTACACTAACTATCCACTCTACTCAGTTCACAACCTACAAGAGGTTCCCACCTTTACACTAACTATCTACTCTAATCAGTTCAGAACCTAGGTACGGACCTTTACACTAACTGTCTACTCTACACAGTTCACAACCTAGATACCGAACTTTACACTAACTATCTACTCTACTCAGTGCACAAATAGGTACCGACCTTTACAATAACTGTCTACTCTACTCAGTTCACAACCTAGGTACCAACCTTTACACTATTTACTCTACTCAGTGCACAGCCTACAAGAGGTACCCACCTTTACAGTAACTGTCTACTCTACTCAGTGCACAACCTACAAGAGGTACCCACCTTTACACTAACTATCCACTCTACTCAGTTCACAACCTACAAGAGGTTCCCACCTTTACACTAACTATCTACTCTAATCAGTTCAGAACCTAGGTACGGACCTTTACACTAACTGTCTACTCTACACAGTTCGCAACCTAGATACCGAACTTTACACTAACTATCTACTCTACTCAGTGCACAAAGAGGTACCGACCTTTACAATAACTGTCTACTCTACTCAGTTCACAACCTAGGTACCGACCTTTACAATAACTGTCTACTCTACTCAGTTCACAACCTAGGTACCGACCTTTACACTATTTACTCTACTCAGTGCACAGCCTACAAGAGGTACCCACCTTTACACTAACTATCCACTCTACTCAGTTCACAACCTACAAGAGGTACCCCCCTTTACACTAACTATCTACTCTACTCAGTTCACAACCTAGGTACCGACCTTTACACTATTTACTCTACTCAGTGCACAGCCTACAAGAGGTACCCACCTTTACACTAACTGTCTACTCTACTCAGTTCACAACCTAGGTACCGACCTTCTTGGATACACTCTCCTTGTCGTCGTAGCCGACCCAGTCACTAGAGGAGTAGGCGTAGGGCACCATTTGATCATCCGACCATGCCCGCGTCCACCCAGACTCCTTCAATTTCAGACACACCTAGTGGGATAAACATGTTGATTATTGGTAGGATTTTACTGCCAGGATCACATGATGACTTGTGCTTATGGAGACACCACCGAAAATAGGAAGTAAGAAGGGAAAAAAATATAGTTGATCGGTAAGAATGGCAGTCTGTAGCTATAGCTCGGTCCATTAAACACAAAAAGATTATATCAAATTATGACATAATTTGTTACAAAAACCTTGCCAATTCTTTCAATTTCACTTCATATATGTAGACGATATACTATATTTAAATAACAAGAAAAAATCTTCTACGTCGATCGGATATTTGAACAAAAAATCAAAGACACTTCAGGCTTTACTTTATTAGTCGCTTTCCTCGATAATTACTACAATGCAAGATCATTACCGACAGATTTGCTACTAAGCTGTACGATACATGAAATGATTTAAACCATGGTGTTGACTTGTCAAAGTTGATTCATTTTCAAAGAGTTTGCTTCAAATATCATGATTTATATGATAGATTACGACTGCTGACGTACAAATTTGCAGCTTTAAAAAGACTACGTGCAAGTTTTATAGTCGTTATAACAATGTCATTTGGAAATATTCTATCTTCAGGACGAAATGTATTCACTTTTTTAATACTTATATTCATGCAGTATTCCATTTGATATATACCGATCGGTAGTGCTCTTGAACTACTGCGGCGTACATGACCAACATCTCATTTCGTACATACTTATATAATTACCTCGTAATAAGACAGCATCCCTTCTTCTGCCGTGTATTGACCTTTTGATCCGGAGCCGCTTGCCGGAGATCCAATGGAAGTCGTGGAAGTGTAAGTGAAACTCCTGCCGTAGAAGGCTATCCCCAGAATCAATTTTTCCTTTGGACAACCTTGTTCTAGCCAGTGCTTGACAGCACCATCCTTCAAGGACAAACCAGTGTGAAATTGTTAAGAATAGTACGTTACACTAGTTAACCATAACTTACAAGATAAACAAGTAAGTAAGCGAACGTCTTCTGCAAGTTATGGACACAAGAGAACAGCCTTTGGCGCTTGGAGAAGAAATCAATCTCATTTTTGACCAAAATGAAAAGGATGTGACCGGGATGGTTTGCGGTGAACTATTTCTTCACCCCGCGCACAAGTGTGTATATTGAAACTATAGCCAGTCTACCTCAGGTCATATTTGTAATTTACTACATTCATTATACATGTACATATGTATGAGGACATTGAATAAATCAATTCACAACATAGATGTACCTGTGTTAACTTGTCTCCTGGGTTTCCCGCCATAGGGTACAGTGGACTGTTGTGGTCAAGATAATTTTCCCAGGGTCCATGTAGGTCGTAAGCCATAAGGTTGATGAAATCGAAACTCCTGTCAACGTTAAAGAAGCCTGATAGATCGTTCGAAACGCTATCTTAGTTTATGTCACTAGAAACAAGTGATAGTAAAACTGCATAGAAAATAGGATTAAAAAATACACACACCTTTAACTTTCTTTTATATAATTATATAATAAGGGGTATATATGAACTATCCTGTTTCATAATCGCCAAATCCGAAGGCCTGATAACAAAATGCTGGCGTTTAAATTATGTGAAACAGTAGATTTTATTTCTCAAACCCATTTCAACTACAACACTTATTTCAATATGGACGGAAAACAGACAGAAGCTAAAATAAAAATAATATTCAATATAAAATAAAAGACATGGAAAAGTTGTGTTTGTATGTCTTCCGGAAAGACTACTATCAGACAAAGACGTGTGCCCGGGGAGACAACGCCGAAAAGAGAGAGAGGGAGAATGGCTAGGAAAGATACACAAAATAGACATTAAAATAGCTGTAACAGAGGCAGCGGGTCAATTCTGGTGTTTACAATGTCCGTAAGGAGAAGACACGAAAGACACTCATTATTCTGACGGAAGGCCCACATATATCGCCTGATACGTTCATGCAGTTGAATACAACAGTTCAACAGAACCCCTCAAATTACACTGGTATTGATTATAATTTAATAAAAAAGAAACTGTAATATCCCATAACTTACTGTGATATAAGGTTGATTTCGTATGCTTTATCTGAATAATAAGTACCGGCAGCCACAGCTGCGCTGAGTAACAACCGGTCACGTGACTCGTCATAAGACTCCTTTTCAAATTCGTCACGGAAAATCTGAAGAGAAAGTTCAACAAAACCAAAGTATTGTGACATAGTTTACTTGTGTGGTTCACCTTGTTTCTGGTTGTACTTAGCATTTGAGTCTTTGTAAGAATTATGTCCCCTTGCACGTTTTCCTATTTCATCATATGTAGGTACATATTTGGACAACGGAATATAACCCAAACAAAACAAACCTTATTTTCTATTATCATTTTTTGTCTGTGAGTGCATAAAGAACTGCGACCAGGAACTGTTCCAATCGACTAGTCCAAAATAGCAGTATTACCATCGTGCCGTACATTGCCCCACCTCAAGTCATCCACAATTAGGTCTAAGTATCGAATATTTCATTTGTGACATGAATAAACCGTTGAATTGAGGCTATCAGTTCACAAATCTGGCCCGAATAACACATATATTACTCACATCACGGTGTGGTTTTTTTTTTTATAGGAAGGCATTATTAGAGTTTATGTAGCTTTATGAATGTAGTCCAATGAACAGTCTTATGTTAATGAACTTCCTTAATTAAAAAGTAGTTTCGTGACCACTTCATTTCAACAGATTTTATTGACATGGTGTTATGGTCAAATAGATCGAATAACAGGCAAGCCTATATAAATTCTTTCCATAGGTAGCTAGAATGTTACAATAATATTGTAGAACTATAGCTAAATATACTTTATAGATATTTTGAAATGAAAATACATAATGTAAACGATAAAGTAATTAAAGGGAGGTAACTCACTTTTGATTATTTACAATATAACATAGGACATATACACACACAGACACACACACACACACAAACAAAACATAAATATAGTTATTAATTATCATAATTACACGTGTACACATGAGTTACTATTTAGCATTCGATACAGTTAGGTAAATAGACCAAAAGTCCATGTGCAAGTACTGCACAGGTCATCTTCAACCGAACTGTGTATTAATTATTTATATGTAACTATTTAATCTACAGATTTAACCCGATATATAGGTTCGTGACCATGTTGGCCTGTAGGGAAAGAGTGAAACAAGTTGTGGATGGGAATCGATCTGGTAAATGTTACTAGTTGGTGAAGAACCACCAAGGTACAGTACAACACTGTTTACGTGGGTTTCAACTCATTAGTATGTGTCTGATATTAATATGTTTTTTGTAATATATATGGATAAACATACACACAGTTAGGTTAATAAATAACTCGTCTTACTATTAAATATCATCAGCTTACCTGTACCATCCTGGTAAACCGCTGTTTGTCCCCCGCGGGACTTCCTCTACTGCCTGGATATTCCCAGTCAATATCAAGCCCGTCGAAGTCATGTTTTCTGAGAAACTTTATGGTGTTATCCGCAAACATTCGTATTTTGGCGTCTGTGGCAACAGCTGAAGTAAACTTTGCAGTGCCAGCGCTCCATCCACCAATAGCGATCAGCACTTTGAGGCCAGGATTTGCGTTCCTCATATTAATTATCTTTGTGTACATTTCTGTGAAACATAGCAACAGTATTAGCACTTAGCAAATTGGTAATACTGTTTGTAAGAGGATTGTGTTTCCTTTAATGAAATTCATTACCTTAAACAGAATATGTTGCATTATCGGCAAAACATCATTAAAAATGGTAGGTGTAAATGCTTACGAGCATCATTCAATTCTGTGAGGCCCAGGTCCAGATCATTTACATTCGCAAATGCGTAGATAATGTGAGTACAGAGGTCTGGTAGGATATCGTCAACGTCGTATGATGCGCCTTGCCGGTACTGGGCCCAGTTGGTGTAGTAACACACGCGCTTGTACTCCGCCCGCGCACACCATCCTACATGCACAAGAAGGTTACATAAAAGAAATACATACAAACGTCCTGCTAAAGCCTCGTTCTCGGCATCGTCTCGCCCCATAAGCCATAGATTAGCATACAATTATACAGTGTACATATACAGAAAAAGTAGATCCTTTTAATGTGTGATATCAAGGTCTGAACGGCTTGTTTATCTGGAGATGTGTCATTTTGGTTTTTCGAGCTATTCGATCTATGTTTATCAACATCATATCTCCTCTATAAAACAGCATGTTTGATTGATCACATTGGTCACAAGACTGGGTAAAACAGCATATCGTTTAACTTTCGCGCTCGAGTTTCCCTGGTTATATTTCCCTTATTTACAATCACTTTAGAAAAATAAGCAAGCGGCAACGAAAGTAGCGAGTGACTGAAGATTCTGGTTTGATGAAATGCATATCGTACACGTGGTAGGAAGGCACGATGGTTTGTTTCCTTGAAATTTATCATGTTTCTCGAGAGCTTTTCCCGAATTAGATCATTTATGAAAAACTTTGGGAAACAGAGAATCGTGTTTCCCCACAACAAGGGCATTAATGATATAACAATATATAATTACCATGTAATTTGCAAATAATCAGGCTGATGCACGTGCTTGACGATTTATTATTAGCAATGACATAGCTTGTTTATTGCCCAGGAAATCGCCATTATACAAAGATTACCTTTTTTAAGACATCTAATAACAAAAATATAAAATGTATTTTGTCCTCGTTGTCTTAAAAATGATTTTTGTTTTTGAGGCAGGAATCACTTTTTTTTCTAGCAGAAACAAAAGGTACATTTGTCTCAACTCGTTGTCATTTCTTTATAACAGTTAACGCCTGATAGTTTCCAAATTATTTATTAAACCATGAGTAATATATACTTTTCATACTCCATACTCCATACTATATAACTATTATACTTTATTCGATAAAAGTAAGGTACACGAAAGCCGCAAAATAAAACAGTTCTGAAAATATTTAAGTAGATTTCGGTTATCGCCAAGCTATAGGAGTGGTTAAGGGTGAATTAACTGACATAGTCCACTCCGCTGATAGATTATATTTGTTATTGTCTAGCGAGCATGATACATGTATATTTACTGTACCTAGTCCAAGTAGCACCAACCCCGAAAACGTTACGGAGGACAACGTCAACATCCTGCAAATTAATAAAAACAGTAAATCAGGTAAGGGCTGCACGACACCTCGAGTTTATGCTACATTATACCTGTTTTTTTCACAAACTACTTACCTTTTTTTTTTTTTATTACAGAATCGTTATATATGCATCCCTTGTTGATCTTACACCAAAAAATAATTTAACAAAACGATGGTAACAGACAGACATATAGCAATCGTATCCTGGGTGAAACGTTTATCTAATTTAATCTCAAATTATTTTTTTATAACTTTTCTTTGAAGGTGTCCTTGTACACCAAAATTGGTTATTCCAGGTGAAATTGTATAGAAGATATGCCCCGGACAAACATTTCCAAAAGTAAAGGCCAAAGGTCAAGTCATAGGTCACAGTGACCTTATTCTTACTGATGAATGCCACCATTTCATTACCCCAGGTTTGAACATGTCATATGCCAGGATTACTTCATACACACACAAAGGCTAAATTATATATCCAAATATTTCAAACAATATATAAAAAAAAAAGTGATCAGATATCCCTTATATGGTTTTTTTCTGATTAAAGTGGTTGGTCTACACCGTCTGGTTTCTTATCTTTTAAGCACTTTCGGTGTTAAAACTTTCTTTGTACTTCCTGTTTGAGATGTTTACCTGAGAATGTGGGCGGTGGCCACGCCACGAAGTACGTGTTGATTTCCACCTATTATATTACACCCTGGTGTATTTGGGAGATATGTGATTGACACATGCGTGTTCTACCCATGTCACGCCATGTATGCATAGGCCATATTACCCTATTGGTTTCAAAAAAAACAATCATTCGAGATGTTGTATAATTTAAAAATATGTAAGAACGTGATATTGAAAAATAAAACACAGAGGAGCAGATTTGTAAAATTGATGTCGTCTACTTTAATAGCTCTCAAAACCAGTGAGAGTCCCCTTGTTCTAGATCATATCTTTATGTCATGTTAATAGTATCTAGTTTAAAGAGGCATCAAAATGACAAGAATTTCCTATAATTAGCAGAGGTGTAATTTTAAATTCGTTATGGTTAATCTCATACCTCACTATTGTAAAAAAAAGTGTACACTAATTTGTTTTCAAAATGGAAGCCGATGAAGTGATAGCAGAATGTTTTTTTCGTAAAATGTTATAGTGATCCTGACTTTGATCACTGCTTCTTAAAATACTAACTCATTTGAACTTAGTTTCATATTTGCCCATTGTATGACATCGAAGGTGGTCAAATCCGTTGTTACAATGATAAAACAAAACAATAAATAGTAAGTGGTATAGATAACAATCATGCTGACCTTAACCCTCACAGTTGTACTCCGAGGAAGGACAACGCGTTCGAGTCCCCTCTTACATGACTACTGTTATAGTTATAGTCTCTATCGTGATGACAGATTTTCCTGTTATACATTGTACTAGTGGTAACAGTGACATTGCCACGCTAAAACATTTGAGGTAGTCTCAAACTTGACCATTGTATAAAGTTTGATCCAAATCTATTCAGAAATATTCAGCTAGAGTGATGATAAAATGTGACCGCAAGTACAGACGCGGATGGCTACATCTTCTCCACAACCTTGTCGCGTAAGGATATCAAAAGTAAAAGGAGAGGAGTAGTTTTCTGACTAGCCCCTCCGATTGATCGTATTGTTACCGACATTAACAATACTGCTTCAGAAAATGTCTTACTTTTATGTGTGTGACAAACATAATAAAACATTCTCCTAGATTATCGTAAAAAGATCGCTTACATATTAAAGTTTTAGTAGCGTAGCCATGCGAACACGCTAGATGTTCATTAAAGGTAGTGGCGTGTGTTAAACATAAACCTTTAGTATGCTAGCTCAGCCGGCTAATTACACTTGTAAATGGTACAGTGGGTATGGTGGGTGGAAAGGTACAGCGTTCGCGATTTTAAGACTCGCGTTTTTTTGGATTTGTAAGATTACTTGATTACAAATATTTACATTCGTAATGAACTCGCAGAAACCTGCAAAAAAATAGTTAATACACCAACGAAAATATAGGATAGTGTCGACAAACAAGGACAAAATATAATGTTGCGTCAACAAACTAAAAGAAAATGAACCTCAGTGTCAACAAGTACTAGTAATACTTTACTCCCTTTGAGGTAAGATTGCGGATCAGAACACGAGGCAGAAGATTCGTACATGTATGTTGTCAATGGCCGAGATAATGATTCTTTTTCTCTTTCCCTGTCGACCCAGATAAATGTAAAAACTGTCGTAGCCATACCAAACCATTTAAATAAACATATTATTGAAATGACGTTAATACATTGTTGACGTGACGTCATACAGTTGTTATGATATGGGAATCCCTTAGTCTCTACGCTAGGGTAAGACGAACAGAATATATCACTAATGTACCATGTAGATAGTGAAAACTTGCCCGCCAGTTGGAAAGGTGGCGCAGCTGATAACATGTTCGCCTTTCACCAAGTGGGGAGGGGTTCGATTCCAAGATGGTACTCCTCCAACATTAAGGCAATCCCACCACCCTCACCACCCCAAGCCCCCGAACCCCCAAACCCCAAAAAAGCTTCAAAAACAAATATAAAACTGGTTGGAATTTCTCTGTCTTCATCAGACATGGATAATTGATTATTTTTCTCCCACTTTCCTTCAACCAAATATGTGGTTTATGATGAACCAAACGCATTCAAATCGGAGATATTTAAGGGCGCATGAAATATGTGACAAACTGATGACGTCACTCTAATTACGCTGCATAAAGTGATGACCAGTGGTGACGTTTTCAGAATAAATGCGTGTGAGAGCTATCTTTTCCCAACTAGATAAAGACAGGTTTTTCTCTGAGTCCGAGATATCTACACTTCCGGCTAGGGAAAGATTTCTCAGTCTTACCCTAGAGAACAGACGGGGGATTCTCCAGTTATAACCACTGCGTGACGTCACGTCAGCAATAGCAGATCAGGGACGGTAACTACTGGCAATTATGAAATTAACATTTGTATTTCATGAAAATACCTCTTGTATTTGATTTGGGAGAAAAACATTCATTCCCTACTTAGAAGGAGGGGAAAGATGATATTATATTGGTTCCTTGGCGAACAACGGGAATGGACCCATGAAGGTAGTTGGGATACTATTCTGACCTTGCTCGTTGACGCCGTAGTACGATTCTTTAATTTAAAGTGGTCTTTAGTTAATATTTAAAAAATTCACTTACGATTTTCGAATCATACACTGTATTCATAATTTAATCCTAAAACCTTTCTGATGACAACTGCTGTTTTCAATAGTTATCCTGGTGATAGCTGTTGTTCTATTTCTAAACACTTCCTTCGGGTTGGTAAGTATGGATTATGAGAATCGTATTAGTATTGGTTGTGTAAAAAGAACTTCTCATAATTATAAGTTGTTGTTCTAATTAAACTGTCTGTTGTCATTTTTATTTTTCGAGAACTTACCGGGCGACAGCTATTTTTTTCTACTTAGCTAACCTGGTAAGAGTTGTTGCTTCTGGTAAAATTTCCTGATAACAGCTTTTGTTTTCTATTTTATTATCCTTATGAAAGCTTCTGGTTTTTTCATTAAGATATATCGCACAAAATGTATTGCATTTCATTATGCCTGTAATACGCAAACGGATTTTGATTACCGTAGGCGAAACTTAAAACGATATCAAAGAATAAGTACGGCTAATTAAAGCAAATGGTACTCGCGCAGACATAAATGCGAATACTAAATAATTTTTATAAGACAGGTTTATATGGAAGGTTACCTTGTATGTATTCTAAATAATTTTTATAAGACAGGTTTATATGGAAGGTTACCGTGTATGTATTACTTTGTTTTATAAGACAGGTTTAAATGGAAGGTTACCGTGTATGTATTACTTTGTTTTATAAGACAGGCTTATATGGAGACTTACCTTGTATGTATTACTCTGTTTTATAAGACAGGTTTATATTTAAGGTTACCGTGTATGTATTACTTTGTTTTATAAGACAGGTTTAAATGAAAGGTTACCTTGTATGTATTACTTTGTTTTATAAGAAAGGTTTATATGGAAGGTTACCGTGTATGTAATACTGTGTTTTATAAGACAGGTTTATATGGAAGGTTACCTTGCATGTATTACTTTGTTTTATAAGACAGGTTTAAATGGAAGGTTACCGTGTATGTATTACTTTGTTTTATAAGACAGGTTTATGTGGAGACTTACCTTGTATGTATTACTTTGTTTTATAAGAAAGGTTTATATGGAAGGTTACCGTGTATGTAATACTGTGTTTTATAAGACAGGTTTATATGGAAGGATACCTTGTATGTATTACTTAGCTTTATAAGACAGGTTTATATGGAGACTTACCTTGTATGTATTACTCTGTTTTATAAGACAGGTTTATATTTAAGGTTACCTTGTATGTATTACTTTGTTTTATAAGAAAGGTTTATATGGAAAGTTACCTTGTATGTATTACTTTGTTTTATAAGAAAGGTTTATATGGAAGGTTACCGTGTATGTATTACTGTGTTTTATAAGACAGGTTTATATGGAAGGTTACCGTGTATGTAATACTGTGTTTTATAAGACAGGTTTATATGGAAGGATACCTTGTATGTATTACTTAGCTTTATAAGACAGGTTTATATGGAGACTTACCTTGTATGTATTACTCTGTTTTATAAGACAGGTTTATATTTAAGGTTACCGTGTATGTATTACTTTGTTTTATAAGACAGGCTTATATGGAGACTTACCTTGTATGTATTACTTTGTTTTATAAGACGGGTTTATATGGAGACTTACCTTGTATGTATTCCTTTGTTTTATAATACAGGTTTATATGGAGACTTACCTTGTATGTATTCCTTTGTTTTATAAGACAGGTTTATATGGAAGGTTGCCTTGTATGTATTACTTAGTTTTATAAGACAGGTTTATATGGAAGGTTACCTTGTATGTATTACTTTGTTTTATAAGACAGGTACAGATATAGATATAGATAGTTTATTAAAGTCTCACCTTACATAAGTATATGTACACTGATACAATGAAATATACAATAAACATCTGACGAAATCTACTCTAAAAGAGCTATGAGAGACTAAAAGTAATTAAAATGCATGTAAAAGCACTTCTCTTTAGAAGGACCTTACTTTTAAAAGTCATTAGAGAGAGAATCTAGTAAATGCTACAAAGTTGTATTGTAATATCAAACTTCAATATACAGTATACTATAGTGCATGTGACCGGTTAACATAAACACTTACCTTGTTTGCGCCCGACACGTTGATGTTGAAACAGCACCACTCTATCCACAAATTGAGTCTGTGCTTTATGTCCAGGTGAAAGTCATGATAAACTACTCCCACACAGCAACCCTAGCCGTGGGTAATTACAACCTGACCCACACACAATGCCTATGTCAATGGTTCCGTGAAGTGGGAGGGGGGACTATTTCACTGAAATCTGAGAAGGAATCAAAGTTTGATTAAGATTCGAAATCACGCAAGTTACCACACGAAAGTGCTATTAAATTGTTTTCTGGGTATATTGTGTCTTTTTAGCAGCGTTAATAATTATATTTATTCACGCCATGCCACAGGCGATAGTGACGATCATGTTCCATATATTTCACCTCAAATGATGAAGCTATAATACGCTAATACAAAAGTACAACCTGTATTGGCGGAATTTCTTCTTTGTTATTATCGACCATTTCATCACATTTAACATACTCTCACAGTAACTGCCCAAAGTAAAGTCTGGGTGGAGTATGTAATTACTGAATACATAGCCAGGCACCTCGTCACATCGTTAGCCTTAGGTGATCATCAATTGGTTATTATTATGTAAATGGACTATATATTTTAAGAAGAAACATGAATTTAAACCGTATTTGACTCGCCCTTTTTTTTAAAAAAAACATGTTAATAAGATGCAAATATAGACGCTCTAATGGGAAATGTCTCATTGAAATGGGTAGTCGGCATAATATTAAAAAACAAGACCGAAAATGTACTCTATGTAAAAATGATCTAGGCGACGAATTTCATTATTTATTCAAACGTACAAATGTAATAACTAGAGATAAGAGAAAAGCATCTTCTTTAAATTATAGAAAAAAATCTCACAAATTAAAATGATTGGAATTTTGCCATTTTGTAACAAGACAATGTTAAATGGAATTTGGCTTTTGTTGGAAAAAGTTAGCAAACTACATGTATCAACTATTGATAATGTATCATGCATACTGTTTCGTGTACTTGCCATCCATTTTGCCTTTACAGGTGTGTATTATTGTACACCGATACCTCATGTTGTACATTGTTACGTATCTGAGGAAACCAATAAACTAAACTTATCTAAAATGGTCCCTAAAGGATACATGTAATCAAATCACGACACTAACTAGTCTTGTGACAAAAAGGCTAAATCAGTATACGATGAACACCTGTAATACAGTGTTAAATCATGTTTAGCGTGACAGCCATCGGTACATGTAGGCAAAACACATGTCTTACCACTGGTACGGACATCTATAACCAACACCGTATAATATAGTACTATCTCAATTTCTAGATTTTCCTTATCTTGCTCGCGGTATTCGTGCTGCATTACCAGCCCAAGACAGCTGCCAGGTACCTGCCGCAGGTCGGTGGTTTTTATACGGGTAATCAGTCTTTCCTCCACCACCAAATCGAGACACGTGCTTAAAACAACAATAACAAACGACCCCAAACGATCGAATAAATTGTGAAGATAAGCGTTATTTTTCGCTATTTTAAAACATGGTGACTTTAGTAAAACTAAAAAGAAGTCGCCCTCCTCGTGAAAACCTTTTCCCCGTTAACTCAACTTTCTCTGGCAAATCAATGAGAGAGAAGTTTTCTTTGAGAAACTTAGCCAATGTAACCGAGACTGAAGTTGGACGTGTTAAGGAGCGTTGCGTCAAAGGGACGGTCAATTAGGTAAAAAATATCTCAGGACAGTTTATAAAGTTATTGACCAAAGATTTGCTCGAAGCAAGTCAAGTTTGTTTCTGTCAAAAAGTATATTGTCTAGAGAAATCCAATTTACACCAATAAGATCAACAACAACACATGCATGTACTTATAGAAAACTGTGCTTATATTAGACGTCCGCTCGGGAAACTAACGTCACTATCCTGGTTCGACCGATATCATGCTCATTGACTCCTAGTATGGGTTTCTTAGGTATTCCCGTCGTGTCGTTGTCATTCCTACAATACTCATTTGAAACCTATTAGCGTTATATATGTAATATATTAGTTGTTGTGTAAGTAGCTGATAACACCATGGATTACAATGTGTTGGTGCCTATGTATTGGTGAAATGGTTGAATTGCGTGCAGTCTCTCTGTACAGTTCAGCTTGGTTAGGTTAGGTGATTTTCTGGATATTTGATATCCATCTTTTCTCGCCTTCCACGCTTGGTGAATCCTTTGATTTGACCCGATATTTTGTCAGTCAGGATGAGAAAGTAGAATTTGAAAGATAATCATTTCTGGCAACAGAAAGGTGAAAAAAGGGTAATCATATATCCCAAACAAAGATGTACTTAATCAAAGTGGACAGTTTTCTATTACATATTTCTCAATTATTTCACTTCGTCAGTTCTATTACTGAGAGGTCGGCTTGTACCACCAACTAACTCAATAAGTAATATTGCGGGTTTAACACAATATATTAACCACTTCATGGCGTTGCTACAATCCTACTAAATACAGCCTGTAAAGGTAATGGCCGACGTGTTGAGGGCACGTTAACTTGAGGTAATAATTGTGAACACATGTACCACTGATCTTCCATGGAAGATAGACGATGCATACACTGATTCTAACTACATGCTTAATTTCATTAAGCAGATTTTAATTTCCAGGATACTCCATAAATGGTAAATATGAACATTGCACTGTGTCGATATGGCATTTACAGTCTTTTTGAATGACAAACGTTTGCAGTAAAACATCATCATAATGCATGCTAGCATAGTAAATACCATATCAACACAGTTCAACGCTTTAATCGACGCATTGAGCATCAATATATATTATATTTATATGCTGCTTTGGCCACTCCGACAAATAAAGCTGGGTTAGGGGTCACGCCTACATTTTTGTAAATGGGTCAGTCTCAACCAATGCATCTGCTGTTTCGGTCAATCTCGACTAAAATAACTGTTAATGTTTAATTTTGATTAATTAACCAGCTGCTGATACTAATGACATAAAAAGGTCAACGTCATCCATTGTAACCCAAAGTAAGGTCGACCCTAACAAAATTACTGTTCAAGTGATATAAAACATTCTATGTTACCGGTATTAATATTTTTCTCAAAATGGTTCATTCACCCGTAAGGCCTATGATACTACATGACAGTATGGCATCATGAAAGATCTTCACGACCTTGGCGTACGTGGAAACCTTCTTAATTTTATATTTCATTACCTATCAGATAGACACTTCAAAGTCCGTGTTGGTTCAACTTTTTCTGAAACGTCTACACAGGAAATGGGAGTCCCACAGGGTGGAATCCTATCAGTCACCCTGTTTGGTCTTTAAATCAATGATATAGTCAAATGTCTTGGCCAATCAACAGAAGGATTGTTATTTGTGGATGACCTCTTGATCTGTTACAGATCTTAGAACATGCACACGATAGAACGACAACTTCAACAGAGTTTAAACAAACTACAAAATTGGGCAGACGATAACGCTTCAAATTCTCTAAATCTAAAACTGTGTGCATGCATTTCTGTCAAAAACCGAAAAGCACATAATGACCCAATCCTTACACTCGATGGCACTAGAATTTCTCGCCCTCATTTTTTATTCGAAACTCTCTGTTATACCACATATAAAGTATCTGAAGGATAAGTGTTCCAAGGCGTTGAACATTATACGAGTTCTTTCTCATACTGATTGGGGAGTAGACCGTGAAATGCTTTTGCGCCTATACAGATCACTTATTCAAACAAACTGGAGTATGGTTCTATGATATACGGGTCGGCACGCAGTTCGTACCTGCAGATGCTAAACCCAATCAATAAACAAGGGCTACGTCTAGCCCTTGGAGCTTTTCGAACAACACCCGAATGAACCATCCCTTTATTACAGTTTGCAGCTCAATTAAAATCAAACCCTAAAAATCCTGCTTTCGACCAAGTATTCAACCCAAAATACCAAAACATATTAACGCAAAACCAAAAATTTCTGCCAACATTTGGTATCCGAATTTAAAATTTCCTGCAAGAACTCAACATAAAGTTGACTGACATAGGTGAATTTGATATATCTGATGTTCCTTCGTGGACCATTCAAACACCTGATTTTAACTTTCCATTACATGAGCGAGGGAAATCAAGTGTTATGGCCGAAGAACACAAATCCTCCTTTCGGGAATACATTTCGAATTACCGTTCTCATACACAACTTTACACCGATGGTTCCAAAGAAGGTGAGAAAGTGGCAGCAGCCTGCTGTACTGCTAGTTTTTGCACTTCAGTTCGACTACCAGCCGGCGCCTCCGTCTTTTCTGCCGAAGCCATTGGTTTAGCCCTCGACCATATGATGAACACTGCATTAAAAGGCAACCATTTGTTCTGACTCTCTATCTGTCCTACAGAGTTTACAGTTACGGGATCCTAAAAACACACTCGTACAAAACCTTTCTCTTCGAATAACTCGTATCTTAAAAAAGTCTAAAAATAACTTTACTGTGGATTCCGAGCCATGTCAGAATTAAAGGCAAAGAATGCGTTGACAGGGAAGCGTTAAATCTCCAACAAACAAATATCAAACTACCATATACAGATTTTAAACCTACTATTCGTACAGCCATTCAAAATGAATGGCAGCAACGCTGGTCTCTCGAGACCACCAACAAACTTTTTAAGGTACAACCGAAACTTAAAACATCTATTCCCAGTCGGAAAGATAGTAGAGAGGAAGTTGTCCTCGCTCGGCTCCGTACTTGGCACACATATCCTACTCAGTCGTACCTTTTAATACGAGAAGATCTACCTTCATGCCACGCATGTGACACTCCATTTACAGTGGAACATTTTTTAATAGAATGTTCCGATTTTAAACACATTCGTGATAACTACTTTCGAGTCCCGGATATGAAAACACTTTTCAGTTCCGTGGACTCGAAGGCATTATTTAACTATTTGAAAGACATCGGTCTATTTTATAGACTCTGATGTCTTTTAACCCACCTTACCCTTTTTGACGTTATATATATATTACATATTCCATATCATATATTCGTTATCTTTTTTTATTATTTTAACCCCCTTTTTATTTTTTATTATCTACACATACAATGCGAATGCTTTTAAAATGAACTTTTTATCTGATTTTATCTTCACTACTCACATGTTTGTTTAACAAAAATTAAATAAATAAATAAATCACCATGGCCCTAAATGACCACAGCCGTCGATAGGCCGTTAAACACAAACAAACAAACAAATCACCCGTACGGTTATATGATGACTGAAAATGACTAACCAGTCTGGTTATATGATAACTGACAATGGTTAACCCGTCTGGTTATATGATAACTGACTGTGGTTAACCTGTCTGGTTATATGACAACTGACAATGGTTAACCTGTCTGGTTATATGACAACTGGCCATGGTTTACCCGTCTGGTTATATGACAACTGACAATGGTTAGCCTGTCTGGTAATATGATAACTGACAATGGTTAACCCGTCTGGTTATATGATAACTGAATAACTGACAATGATTAACCTGTCTGGTTATATGATAACTGACTGTGGTTAACCTGTCTGGTTATATGACAACTGACAATGGTTAACATGTCTGGTTATATGACAACTGGCAGTGGTTTACCCGTCTGGTTTTATGATAACTGACAATGGTTAACCTGTCTGCTTATATGACAACTGACAATGGTTAACCTGTCTGGTAATATAGTAACTGACAATGGTTAACCCGTCTGGTTATATGATAACTGGCAATGGTCAACCCGTATGGTTATATGATAACTGACAATGATTAACCCGTATCGTTATATGAAAACTGACAATGGTTAGCCCGTCTGGTTATATGATAACTGACTGTGGTTAACCTTTCTGGTTATATGACAACTGACAATGATTAGCCCGTCTGGTTATATGACAACTGACAATGGTTAACCTGTCTGGTTATATGACAACTGGCCATGGTTTACCCGTCTGGTTATATGACAACTGACAACGGTTAGCCTGTCTGGTAATATGATAACTGACAATGGTTAAACCGTCTGGTTATATGATAACTGAATAACTGACAATGATTAACCTGTCTGGTTATATGATAACTGACTGTGGTTAACCTGTCTGGTTATATGACAACTGACAATGGTTAACATGTCTGGTTATATGACAACTGGCAGTGGTTTACCCGTCTGGTTATATTATAACTGACAATGATAAACCCGTCTGGTTACATGATAACTGACAATGGTTAACCTGTCTGGAAATATGATAACTGACAATGGTTTACCCGTTTGGTTATATGATAACTGACAATAGTTAACCTGCCTGGTTATATGATAACTGACTGTGTTTAAAATGACTGGTTATATGATAACTGACTGTGGTTAACCCGTCTGGTTATATGATAACTGACTGTGGTTAACATGCCTGGTTATATGATAATTGACTGTGGTTAACATGCCTGGTTATATGATAATTGACTGTGGTTAACATGCCTGGTTATATGATAATTGACTGTGGTTAACCTGTCTGGTTATATGATAACTGACACTGGTTAACCCGTCTGGTTATATGACAACTGACAATGATTAGCCCGTCTGGGTATATGATAACTGACTGTGGTTAACCTGTCTGGTTATATGACAACTGACAATGGTTAGCCCGTCTGGTTATATGATAACTGACTGTGGTTAAAATGCCTGGTTATATGATAACTGACTGTGGTTAAAATGCCTGGTTATATGATAACTGACTGTGGTTAAAATGCCTGGTTATATGATAACTGACTGTGGTTAAAATGTCTGGTTATATGATAACTGACTGTGGTTAACATGCCTGGTTATATGATGACTGACAATGATTAACCCGTCTGGTTATATGACAACTGACAATGATTAGCCCGTCTGGTTACATGATAACTGACAATGGTTAGCCTGTCTGGTAATATGATAACCGACAAAAGTTAACCCGTCTGGTTATATGATAACTGACTGTGGTTAACATGCCTGGTTATCTGATAACTGACTGTGGTTAACCTGTCTGGTTATATGATAACTGACACTGGTTAACCCGTCTGGTTATATGACAACTGACAATGATTAACCTGTCTGGTTATATGACAACTGACAATGGTTAGCCCGTCTGGTTATATGATAACTGACAATGGTTAACCTGCCTGGTTATATAATAACTGACTGTGGTTAAACTGACTGGTTATATGATAACTGGCAGTGGTTAACCTGTCTGGTTAAATGACAACTGACAATGGTTAACCCGTCTGGTTATATGATAACTGACAATGGTTAACCTGCCTGGTTATATGATAATTGATGTCGTTAACATGCCTGGTTATATGATAACTGACTGTGGTTAAAATGCCTGGTTATATGATAACTGACTGTGGTTAACATGCCTGGTTATCTGATAACTGACTGTGGTTAACCTGTCTGGCTATATGACAACTGACAATGGTTAACATGTCTGGTTATATGACAACTGAGAATGATTAGCCCGTCTGGTTATATGACAACTGACAATGATTAACCTGTCTGGTTATATGACAACTGACAATGGTTAGCCCGTCTGGTTATATGATAACTGACTGTGGTCCGTCTGGTTATATGACAACTGACAATGGTTAACTTGTCTGGTTACATGATAACTGACAATGGTTAACCTGTCTGGTTATATGATAACTGACACTGGTTAACCCGTCTGGTTATATGACAACTGACAATGATTAACTTGTCTGGTAATATGACAACTGACAATGATTAGCCCGTCTGGTTATATGATAACTGACTGTGGTTAACCTGCCTGGTTACATGATAACTGGCAGTGGTTAACCTGTCTGGTTATATGACAACTGACAATGGTTAACCCGTCTGGTTATATGACAACTGACAATGGTTAACCTGTCTGGTTATATGATAACTGTCAATGGTTAACCCGTCTGGTTATATGATAACTGACAATTGGTAATTTGTCTCATGATTTTTGTTTTTTTAGGCTTGTATTTAAAAAAACAAAAGTTTTTAATGAGACAGACATTTGATTTATTCAAGTAACATTCGCAAAAAAATCCAATTTTCATTTTTTTTACCGGCAAATGATTCAGTGAAACTCGATTAACCCTATTGTAAAGTAACATAAGCAAAAATGCCAATTACATGTACTTACCCCGTGTTTTTGCTTGACGTGTCTGTTGACACGTCAATAAAATAAAATAATAATAAAAAAAGTGCAAAAGTTGACAGACTTCTTAGACTAATACATGAATGTCTTATCACAATCCATACACTCCCTCAGACTGGATGGCATATCCTCAGCTTCCATGCTTCGACAGAGTTAAGACAATAAGACCCTATTCTCCCTTGGAATTTGGTAGACTGATCTATTCAAAAACTCGCATAAATAGTATCCTAGCTTACTACAACCTGGGACATCGAAACACCTTTTTAGCCTCGTATTGAAAATTAAAGATACATTCCCTATTGTACATCTGTTTCTTCTTCCTTTATACCTATAGATGGTAACATGTCACCAATAGAACGTACACACAAATCCTATGTAGGTTTTATCCGTGTAAAGTTGGATGTTTGTATGTTAAACTTTTAACAATTTAAGTGACGCTTTGTGGTGTTAAAAAGCACACTTTTTTGTGATTACTTTTTTAAAGGTAATCATAATAGCAATTAAGTGTTGTAATTAGATACGTGTACATTTTATATTTACCATTAAAAAATTACTCGTTTCTACCGAAGAAAACATTACCTGTTTACGGTCGTTATTTACGTGACAACGTTAACTGGACCTGATAAACTGTTCCTATCTCACTGTATAAACTCATTGTGGGTGCATGTGTGTAATAATGTATTAACTCATTGTGGGTGTATGTGTATAATAATGTATTAACTCACTGTGGATGTATGTGTGTAGTAATGTATTAACTCATTGTGGGTGTATTTGTGTAATAAAGTATTAACTCATTGTGGGTGTATGTGTGTAATAATGTATTAACTCATTGTGGGTGTATGTGTGTAATACTGTAATAAGTTGCTTGATTGTTGGTAATGGTTTAAGGTCATCTGGCTTTGCGACCCGACCATGTCCAACCTACTCTGTATACACAAAATCACTCGGAGAAACCTTTCTTCGCCAGCAGAGATAAACAGCTCTCTAAAAAAAAAGAGAACAAACATATAATAGTATAATAATATCAGAAATTAGATTGTTTGTTTTTTAATTGGCTGATGCAAGGAGCTCAGTTCTAAATGTGAATTGTCATAATTCGAGATATTAGCACGTCAGTCTTAAATTCAACATAAGTGTAGGTAAATTTCAATTTTATTTATATTTTCTTCCCATTATTATATGTAGCGGTATGTGTAACATGTAATAAACTGCAGTTATTAGCGATTTGAGCTCCATCGAAGTTGACTGAATCTTTGTTGCGTTTGGTGGCAGACTGTAGGCATTCTTATGGCAACAAACTGTGGTCTGTCTTGTTTCGTTTTCATATGAGGATGAATATATTGATTAACTTATCAGGACTGATAAAATAAAACTTGTCCTTCAATTTCATAGTTAGATATCAATAGGTATATCGAAGTTTATTAACCTCGCGGATGGTGTATATACCCTCATGGGTTTGATATAATGGACACTACAGAATATTGCACGTCTGTCGCCTCCCTCGATCCTTATTTACAGCATGACCAACAGGGACGGTTTTTACTGTGCTGTGCGATAATCAGGACGACTTGGATTTTCCGACAGTGAACTTTCCCTTTTTATTCTAACATCCCTGCTTCCCATATTTGGTGTTTATTTGTCGCAGCTTGCTCCGACTATCATGACTCCAGTGCTAGATGTCAACCTCTGACAGTGTTTACAAGATGCAGGTTGATGATAACATGGTAGCCATTGTGATCTCAGTGGGAAATATGAAGGTATGTAGGTCATTTTTTGATAATTCTCTTTTAATATTACTTGGACTTGACCTTATACTTTTTCAAGGTTCTCTAGTTCAATAATTCCTTTATTCATGTTTTGCCCTAGTTTTTACATAGTTTGCCCTAGTTTTACATGTTTTGCCCTAGTTTTTACATAGTTTGCCCTAGTTTTACATGTTTTGCCCTAGTTTTATCGGTTTTAGCGTCCGCATTACAGCTTTGTTGACAGTTTGCCTCTATTTCGTTTCCCTGTGCATGCCGAGAAATGCGACTCTTGGAGTGATGATGATAAGCAATGTTCGATAAGGTTCTATTTTGTATAACAGTAAAATAAACCTTGACCGTTTACACCCATCTTTTTTATTTTCGGATGTGTGACCAATTCCAGTATTCTTGAGAAGTTTTATTGAATTTCATGAAGAAATGTAGATTCCAGAGTGAGGAAAGGGTCCGATTAAATATTTTAGTAACAGTGACCGTGACTGCTCATGAAAGGAGAGTGTGTTGGAAGGACGAACTGACGAGAACAGTTCATACCGGAATAAACTTAATATCATAGGTGAATGTTCATGCATTTGTTTCTTTGTCCGAAGATATTGTTCGTTTTTCTACGGGGTCACTTTTTCACGGAAGAAAGGACAATAAACATAGTTAGGGGGAATACTATTTTCTACGAATGCCCGATTAGGACCTCTATGTAGAATAACGACCTGTTGTCTTAGAAAACATTCTAGTTCCAACTGATGTACTTACTGTGTTCACAATGCAGATGTTAAATGTATCTAGTATCATACACAAATCCGTGCAGTTCTTCAGTAGGAGCAGTGCAAAACACACTGTTAAACAAGGCTCCATAACGCCATAATAAGCGGAGGTAACACCCAATTTATATACTCAATCGCTATCCCCTTGATATAAGGACTCTTTGTACCAAGGGCCATTCAAATCAGTGCAGTACTTTGAGAGGATTAGATAATTCAGTTAGAAACTGTGCAGTCAAGATTGTGTTGACTAACTTTGTAAAAAGGGGCATAACTCCCATAAAAATTACCGAGTGAAATATTAATCGCAGATGCAAAACTTCTGAGTGTAACTGGTTGATTATCATGAAATTCGGTCGAAAACTATAGGAGTTGTCCGAACAAATTAGTTAAACCGGTTTTGCTGTCATTTTTATGTCGTCATCGTATTATTATGTATGACGTATATGTATTGGTTTTTGAATAGGTATTGATTTGTATGATTTGTGTTAGCTACTAGGGCCATTTTATTTTTTCCTCCGTAGATGAATCATTTTCTGTTACAGTATAGGTATAATTCTTTCTGTATGTTTGATCATTATCAAAACGTGCCCCGGTATACAAAAAAAATCACCACCTGATCCAAACTTCCGCCAACATATATTTCTAATATAAGATTACACCTGGAAACATCTTTATACAGGATTTCATTTCACATTGTAGTACAAACTTCGACTGTGTCCGCTTCTGACGGTTAGTGAATGTTAACAAATTGTGCAATCCAACAGTGATAAAACTTAAGTTTTCAATTGTTAAATAAAAATGGTTCGACTTATGCTTTATTGCTTTAGTGAACCCTGATCTATCTAGGTCCGTGTAGAATGATTCTCATTACACCAGGGCTTAGCCTGACAGTACATGCGAAATCGAATTATCCATTTCATTGCTGTTCCTTCACCCAGTATTCGGCGAGAAAACATTCATAATTTATCATTAATGAAAACAAATAAAATCCGCATTGAAGTTTAAAGTATTTTAATAAATAACGATGAGAGATTTGTACAAACTGTTCTTCCGTTGTAATACCCAGTGATAATGTGTGAACGATGTCTTTTTTGACTACATTGTATTTTTTAAAGATACAAGCATTGTCCGCGAATGGTCAGAAGTATAAAAGACCACACATCGAATAGACACACAGAAATACTGCTTATGATGATTCCATGTTCTTAAAATACCACTTGTTAATTTGTTATAAACCTGTAAAAGGATTCACTTCCTGTCCGAAACATCCATCTGAACCAATCAGATCAAACGAATACTGACTTCCGCCCACCAACGGGCTGCTCCGGAAGCCGTCTCTCTCCGCCTTCATACAAGATATCCTGGACACTGTACTGTTACCGACACACCTGTAACATATGTACAACTTGGCGGTTACACAGGTACTTAATTGAGATGATAGAAAGTAAACGAGTAAATAACAAAAAAGGTAAACAGACAAATTAAATAGCAGTTCATGACGTCTCCGTTCCAAACTCTTCGAATTCGCTAATATGATTTTTGGTAAGTTATTTAATATAACATATACATTAAAATAGCAGTACACAATGGTTACTTTTATGCTACAGAACAACACAATAATGAACTGGTCGGGAACCGTGCTAACTTCTTGACGCTTATATTAACATAGACAATATATAGAGACTGGTAGGTTGGTTTTCTATAAAAGAGTGACCGTTGTGTACTTCTATGGACTTTCTGTAGAACAGGGAGAGTAATGTCATAAACGGCGATTTCTCAAAATGAAAAACAAAATAACTTCGGGATTTCTACCTTACTCTGTCATTGGTCTGTTTTATCTGGGATCGGACACAAACATGTTTGGAGATGAGACGAAAATATTTGTAATATCTGGAATTATCTGGAAATTAACAAAGTTGTTCAAAAAAGATCAACCGCAATAATCCCGGAACTAAAGGGTCTTTCATATCCGGAGAGACTGAAACGCCTGTAGTATCTACATTTGTAGCATATTTACAGAAGACAGCGAGAGATATCATAAATATCTATATAATAATTCATAGCATATATGGCAATGGATTAACTGGACCCCTTAAATAAATAGAGAGGAAAGTAACTAATTGTAAAAGCTGTTGGAATATGTGAACAAGTATGCGTCGTCCCAACTCATTGGAACCTAGAATAAATTATCGTATGCTTGAGCCTGGTGTAGGTGACATTTAAATTAACTTGTGCCAGAAAAATATCATAAGAAAGCTTGTTCAAACATTAAAATAATTGTGCTTTCAATAAAGTCAGGTTAGGTTATATATAGAAGCTGTCTTTTATCTATTTTGAAAACAGAACACCGACTTACCGTGCTGTGGAGATAACCAAATTAGTTCTCAAAATAACACACTGACTTAAGTAAATAGAGCCTTCATAAACCGGCAGTGAATACCCCAGGTTTTATCATTTAATGTACTAGCGAGGGACGATAAAGATCCAAAAAGCCTCTCACAGAAATAAATCATTTGAAACTGAATTAAAAGTGTTCAGAAATATAGTATTGTTGTTTTTTTAGCTAATATATGTAAATACTGTAATGTACTCTACGGTTCGAGCACTATCCTAAACACTGACAACTTATCTTGCATAAAGTTGTAAATAAATCAGTGTTATTGATAAGGTATACCTGCAGTAATCGTCCCTGCCGTCATTGTTGGCGTCACGCATGTACCACGTATCCTTGAGGCCAGCGTCGAATCCCATTCTGGACACGTACCGGTGGTCCTGTCCCACGCTCCCAGCCAAGGCACAAGCCAGAAATTGTTTCTTTCTTTTCCCTATGACTCTGATAAATTGATAAGAAATATACTCATTGTAATGGCCTTATTAATTGAACATAAATCTACATATTATTGTATTATGACAATGTAGGATAACACTCCCACAGAACTTATTATGTGTACAATTTTTTTCAATTGTAGCAACATGCGAATTTCTTCTTTTTTTTTACATAAAATACATAAGCATTTTTCAAGCATTCAGAGGAGAATATCTTTATGTTTTTTGTCAGAGATTGTTGGGATCACATTGCAAAGGTCAGGGTCATATGAAGCAAAGGAAGGAGTCTCGGAAGGGGTTAATGGAAATCTTTTACAAGTAACAACTCCTAAAGAACACGATATAAAGCGTTTTGAATAATATTGTAAGTTTCCAATTCGCCTCTACAGGTAAATACTATTATATGGATGTTGGTATGAAAATCAAAATTAATTATAAAAAGACTATGAGTTAATGAGTGTTTTAGTTTACTTTCTGGAAGCTACTGTCGTCGTTTTGGATGCACATACAACGCATTTCCCGAGTAAGACATTGTAATCAGTAACATGTAAGAGATACCTGCAGTAGTCATTTGCGGCTCCTGTACCCTGGACATCAGCCCAGCCCCGGAACAACTTGCTGTTACCCTGGTCTATGACGTCATATCGACGCGGGATAATTTGTTCGGATGTCAAACGGGGCGGCTTGTCGTCAATCTCATCATCGTCGTCCCTCAAAATCGGAATCACATTGTCATCTTTGGAATGTTTGTGGAGGTATTTCCAGGTGCCGTAAGCTATAACAGTAAATATAATGGAGGATGTGTTGTGATAAGAACTATTCGTTCGCTGTCTTGGGCGGACTGATCTAAGGATAAAGCGATTTGGCAATACACCAGGTCAAAGTCCAAGACAGGAACCGACATTTGAAATTTGGAATAATTGATTGATACTGATAAGATATAGAGTGTTCAAGCTTTGTCTGTATGTTAGAAATACCGGGAAAAGGCGAGGTTTCCAAAATGACAGACGTCACATTAGGAATTCTACCAGGTATACATGTAAAAGATATGTTAACGACAGTGAAATGAAATGCATACCTTTTCGAGGAAGATACCAAGGTTTTTAATAGTATCAAAACCAGTGGACCAGAATACACTACAATAGGATCTGTACAACATTGGAGTGACACATGGCCTCCCAAATTACCTCCCTGTCTTTGTTAACATACGCACATATACCAAAACTAACACCAGATATCAATACAACGTCAAACCGCCAAGGACATAAAACTCCATGTCAACAAATACTGAAAAAGACATTGGAGTCACCATTGACAACCACCTAGAAATTCGAGCAATTTACGTTAGAGAAAAATAGGAAGCAAACGCCATGGCCACAGTCATCAGAAGAACATTAATTCCAACACCTAGACGAGGAAACATTCCACCGTTGTACGAGAGCGTCGTGTGAACATATTTATAATTCTCGTGTTCAGTAAGATGCCGATATAAACGTAAAATAATAAATGATAGGGGTACACACAACAGTACCTCATATCTGCCTCCATCAAAGGGCGGAGATACTGTGAAATATTCGAGAGAGAAAAAATTGAAGTTACAAGAGTTGGCGTATAGAAGACACTGTGTTGAAATTATTGGAACATTCTAGATAATAGGGGAATATATTATAGCTAGACACTTAAGTTTATTCCGATTTTGAACAAAGTCACAGATTGAAAAGAATACCTGCAATAAATTTTAACAACTAAAAGAAAGAAATAGTTTACAGTGCTACTGGTTTACATATGGAAACATCCAACATTATGTTTGATATGGCTTTGAAGCATCACTTGAAAGCAGACTTCAATTTCGAAGTGAACCTGTAGATCTTGTAGTGGAAATAAACTCTCAGTAAATATAAGTTTGCTTGTTAACCCGGCCTAGCGGTTAAGCCGTGTCAGCAGTATATGTTTATACTACTCCTTAGGGGTGCCAAAACAACACTTTCCTTATCAATGTGGGTCTAATAGGTGCAGTAGACCATTTAATAGCAATACAACAAATATCGTCTATTGTTTATATCTGTAGCATAGATATCGTCTAATTTAAGCCTGGCTTGTAGCATGTTCCGTTCGTTAATGATCTATGTTAGAGTTTGTTACTAGTGGTCTCTCTGATTCAGTGTCACTAGTGGCTGCTCCGCTGTAAATATGTACTGTAATACATATGTACTAAATCGTGTAGTCAATGACACGATTGTCTGTGGTTTCTTTGTGTATTCGATAGCATTGTTGTATTTTTGTGAATTCAAAACCTTTGCTGTCTATTTGTCAGTTTGTGAATTCAATAACTGCTATCACTGCTATCAGTGTGTGTAATAACTGCCATCAGTTTGTGTTGTATTCAATAACTGTCAGAAGTTTGTGTTGTATTCAATAACTGTCACAAGTTTGTTTTGTATTCAATAACTACCATCAGTTTGTGAATTCAATTATTACCATCAGTTTGGGTATTCAATTACTACCATCAGGTTGTGTAATCAATAACTGCTATCAGTTTTTGTATTCAATAACTGTCATCAGTTTGTGTAATCACTATCTGCAATCAGTTTGTGTATTCAATAACTGCTATCAGTTTGTGTAATCAATAACTGCTATCAGTTTGTGTATTCAATAACTGATATCAGTGTGTGTAATCAATAACTGCTATCAGTTTGTGTGTTCAATAACTGCCATCAGTTTGTGTTGTATTCAATAACTGTCAGAAGTTTGTGTTGTATTCAATAACTGTCAGAAGTTTGTGTTGTATTCAATAACTGTCAGAAGTTTGTATATTCAATAACTGCCATCAGTGTGTGTATTCACTAACTGCCATCAGTTTGTGTATTCAATAACTGCCATCAGTTTGTGTAATCAATAACTGCCATCAGTTTGTGTAATCAATAACTGCTATCAGTTTGTGTAATCAATAACTGCCATCAGTTTGTGTATTCAATACCTGCCATCAGTTTGTGTATTCAATAACTGCTATCAGTTTGTGTATTCAATAACTACCATCAGTTTGTGTATTCAATAACTGCTATCAGTTTGTGTATTAAATAATTGCCATCAGTTTGTGTAATCAATAACTGCTATCAGTTTGTGTATTCAATAACTAATATCAGTGTGTGTAATCAATAACTGCTATCAGTTTGTGTATTCAATAACTGCCATCAGTTTGTGTTGTATTCAATAACTGTCAGAAGTTTGTGTTGTATTCAATAACTGTCAGAAGTTTGTGTT